ATTAATTACCAAAATTAATGCTATGCTGAGTGCTGAGCAGAGCCAAGGCTAGCCAAGGACATATGACAGACAAAAATAATTCTTAGAATTTTCAATTATAATACAAGATTACATCTCCTCATTAATGTAAAAATTAAATTATTAAAAATAATCCAACTTCACCATGGATCTTGCACTCCTGAAGCATCTGGGGAGGAAATGTGTTCTTCAAATTACAGATCTGATGATGGATCACCAATAAAATAAAGATAAAAGAGGAGGCTTTTTAAAAGTTGGTTAAAATCTGAAAGAAAACATTTTTTTCCCCAAATTATAAAAATGTTTATATAAGTCAAATCTGGTACTGGGGTAGAACAAGGAGTCCTTTAAGCTCTGCCTCAGCAAGAATGGTTCTGGCTAAAAATCTGAAAAAAGTCCTGGATTATTTGACCTGTTCACAAGCCATTATACACTATCTAATCTAATGTTCTAGTGGATGTAAAACAAATTCCTAGAGCAGTATTTAATAGTAGTTTAAGCCAAAATCAGCTTAACTATATATAAGGCTTTATTGTTCACTGATGTTTGTTGCACTATATTAGGAACGGCGATAAGCACGACCCTGACTCCCTTGGCTGCATTGTCCAAGAGAGCAAAGTTTATCATTCTTAATCTTCTTTTATACACATGTTCAAGAAGGTCTGAGAGGTAAAACTCTCCTTGGTCATTAAAGCAACACATCCACCATCATTGGTTAAGTGGAACACCACCCCTGGACTGTTTCCTAAACACCCGCTAAGACTTGTCTTTCATCAAGGACTGTTTGGATTCTTTTGGATTCTTTCTCATGCTTTCTCAGGCCAGACAGAGAAGTCTGTGTGACTTAGTTTCACACAAGCTCTGTTCCCTGCTTACTTTTTGAATTTAGCATCCATAAATGTTTATTGAGCATTATTTGCTTTTGTGGCTTATAAACCAAAGAAAAGGTAGAGGTTGGAAGAGTCTGATGCATAATTATTGACCAAAAGATTGCTTCTTGGCCTTCTGGGTTGTTGTATTAATGTTATGCTAAACTGGCTTTGCTGGAAGTCTGACTTTTGACCTGAGGATAGCAGTGACCTGATGATGGCAGTTAAGCACTGTCTCAGCCACTTCATTTTTTTTTATAACTTAATGAGATGGAAGATCACAGGAAGTCGAATTCCATAAATATCAATGATCTTTGAATGACTCTAACCAATATCAGTGTATAATCTAGTACTGTAAATGCAGCCTGCCTCAAGAGTTCTGAGGATATATTACAGCTGCAAGGAGAGTTCCTGTGTAAGGTAATGATTTGTGATTTTTTGATATCAACACATATATGGGTTCCCTTTATGGGTTAGATTAATCCTTGTCATGATTGTCAGTCATTTTAATTCTAAAAATGTCACATTCCAATTTACTTAAATTTCTGAGAGTTACTGAGATTTCTGGAGTTTGAAGACTTTTTCTTTTTGCAAATGATAAATGAGACGATGGAGATGCTCTGTTAGGCTTGCCATTTGCAAATAATGAAACTAGTTGAAGATGGGGAAGTTGAGAAAAGATTTAACTGCAGAGATCATGAGTTTGTGGAACTTAAAACCCTGAAAGGACCTTAGACTTTAGAACATCAGATTTTTTACTTATTCAGGGAATCCTCTTGTCAGGAACACATGAAGGACTTCCCTAGTGGGAAGCAGAGCTGAAGAAAACTTTGTGACCTGCCAGTATAACATCATTGGCACACACAGACAGGCCATTCAATGTGCAGAAGGGAGAGGAGACCTTGTAGGAGGCCAGCATGGATGATCACAGAGGGTATTGATTCAAACATGCAAGCCTTTGTAGAAGGTTGGGATGAGGTAGAATCAGGGGTGGGCCACCCAGGAAGGATATAGACACAATGCCTGAGTTCAGAGATAGTTAAGAAGCTCAGCTGGAGTTCAAACTTGTGAGGAGGGAAAAGGGAAATGACACTATTGTTTTTAAGTACACTGACAGCACAAGAAAATGTAGGTCCACTGCTCAAGGGAATGGGGGACATGGGAAGGCTGAAGTTTTCACTGACATTTAAAATCAGTTTTCATGAGCTGGCTTTGCCCTCAGGCCCTTTTAGATCTTCAGTCCTCCTTGCATAGTGAACAAAAATGTGGAATTATCCGTGGTATCCAAAGATAATGTTAGGGAGCACTTAAGCCAGTTGGTTGTACAGAAGTCCATGGGAGCAGATAAGATACACCTGAGGGTTCTGAGAATGGAAACCAATGTAATTTTGAGGCCCATCTCTCTTCAAAAGGCCATGATGATCTGGGGAAGTTCCTCATAACTGGAAAAAGACAAATATTACACCTGTCACAGAATCAATTGTGTTGGAAAAGACCTTTGAGGTCATCAAGTCCAACCTATGACTGAACACCACCGTGTTGACTAGATCATGACACTAAGTGTCATGCCCAGTCTTTCTTATGTCTGTCCCTCCAGGGACAGTGACTCCATCACCTCCATGGGCAGCCCCTTCCAATGTCTAGTCACCCTTTCTGTGAAGAAGTTCTTCCTAATGGCCAACCTAAACCTCCCCAGTGCAGCTTAAGACTGTGTTCTCTTTAATGAAGAGAAGAGGGAGGATCCTGAGAATGACACACCAATCAGCTGCACCTGGTAATGTTGTGAGGAAAACTGTTCTGGAAGCCATTTCATGGCACTTGGAGCACCAAGAAGCTGACTGAGAGTGGCCATCAGAGATTTGTCAGTGTCAGATTCTTCATGATCAGCCTGATTCCTGTCTGTGGTGAGAAGGATGGCTCCGTAGACAAATGAGAAGCAGCAGTGGTGGGTACTGAGAGAACTTTGCTTGTTTAGCCACAGGAGGAAAAGGCTAAGGGAAGATCTTATTGCAGCCTGTAATTGTCTAATGAGAGGGTAGAGAGAGAACAGAGCTGAACTCTTCATTAATGCTTCATTAAGATGTGTTGCAATAAGAGCCAACATACACAAACTGGAACGTGGCTGATTTCAGCTAGATGGGAGCAGTCTTTATACTGGATGGTCAAGTTAGGTTTGGCATAGTTATATAGCCCCAGAGGTTGCAGAATTTCCATCCCAAGAGATATTCAATTCAATCTGCAAACATCCCTCAACAGCCCACTCTAATTGGATCTGCTCTGAGCAAAAGACTGGTTTAGATGACTTTTGGAGATTTTAAAAAATTTTCGTAATTTTGTGATTCTGTAAGTTATTTTCTATGACTTTATAGCATTTTAAGAAAAAAAAGATACATTATTTCTAGCTGTTTTTTTCAGGAGATTTAAATAAAGAGGTTTTTTTTTTTTTTTTTAATTTTATTGTTGCATGGCAAAGTTAAGCCTTTTGGGCTGAGCTTTTACTTTAGAAATCATATACCATGCAAAGAAATATAGAATCATAGAATGGTTTTGGTTGGCAGGAACCTCAAAGATCAGCTGGTTGCAACCCCTCTGCCATGGGCAGGGACATTTTCCACTAGACCAAATTGTTCAGAGCCCCATCCAGCCAGCCTTGAACACATCCAGGACTGGGGCATCCACAACTTCCCTGGTCAATCTGTGCCAGTGCCTCACCAGCCTCACAGTGAAGAGCCGGCTATCCTCCAGCTTAAGGCCATTCCCCCTTGTCCTATCGCTACTATGCCCTTGGGAAAACTCCCTCCAGCCTTCTTTCAGGCCCCCTTTAGGAAATGGTCTCCCCAGTGCCTGCTCTTGTGCAGGCAGAACAGCTCCGACCCTCCCAGCCTGTCTTCACAAGAGAGCTGCTCCAGTCCTGTGATCAACTTAGTGCCTCTCCTCTGAACTCCTTCCAACAGAATGTAAATAATTAATTCCTCAGTGGTTTGAATATATCCACAGGAATTAACTTTATATGTAATATTTAATAGCATGTTTAATTTTAAATGATAACTCTGTAAAGGGTTCAGAGAGATCTATGGATGTTTACTTTTACCCTAAGTGCAATTTTTCAGTCTTTCTCTTTCAAATATATATGCACAACTAGATTTGACTACAGTAGGTGGTAGAAAATGAAGATAATGCAGGGAAAATGGTTTTTACTCATGATTTTTGTCAATGCTAAGGTTGTCAAGTGCTTTTAGACATTACTCACATTGATATGAGTGGAAGCAGAAATATTTAGGGACATTTTAAGCCAGAAATAGCTGTAAAATGTCTGTTTTCTTATTACTAATACTGGATAATTAGATTGTTTTTCTTGGTATTTTCCAGAGGACATATGCAGTCACTGAAGTGGAAACAAATTAAGGCTCTTTTAGGAAGAAAAAAACCTAACATTTCTTGCTGAAAAGAAAATTCTGTATTAAACAACCATTGTACAACTGAAAAATAAGTGTGACTGAACATACTTGTATAAAAAACATGAATAGAAAACTCAGCAATTTACAAGTCTGTAGGTAAAAGATATTTGAAAGTTGCTTGACTGTTGCTGTATATTTAAACAGTCACCTGTGACAAGGAAACAAAGATACCTGTTGACACAAGGATTGCTTCAGAAGGCTAAACACAAATCAGAGAAGCACTTAGAAAATTGACTTCTGCAAATAGTTATGGTGCCCTTGAGCAGGATGAATTGTATCCAGCCTTGTTTGTATGTAAACAGTATCACCGCAACAGCCCGTGGTTGGTAGCAGTAGCTTTCAAGGCCTAATCTATAGGCAGTAAATTCTGGTGGCTAGAGACCTCCTGTTTCTGTGATAGTGCAATTTAATTTTCCAGCAATTTGTATGCATGCTAGCACTGAATTTTAAGTACAGAGATAAGGTTAATAGGTGCTGGGTTTTTTTAGGTCCTTACTCTATTTTCCAGAGTTATTTGGCATTCCTACTGAAAGGAAAGAAACAAGTGCAAGCAAGAGGCTGGTGGGGAGTACAAAATGATGAATGTAGAAGCTTTCCTCATGGGTTAGGGCTTGTTCCTGAAAAACAGTGCTTGGTCCTTATATTGAATAGTACAATGTTTAGAGCTGGAAGAAAGCAACTTTGGAAACAGAGCATTGGCAGAGTGATTAAGGTAAGGAAAACTGAATTTTGAACTAGGTTTAGACTAATAATTATATTATTTGAATAAAAAAGTGTATATTGGTGGAGAGAGCATAGAAAAAAAAATGTATGTTTTAAAATAGGTGTAAGTGAATTATGTTAGTTGCACAATTTGCTTTGAAAGGCAAATTTGCACTGGGAGGTGTTTATGCATTTGGCTAGTGGTACTTGTATCTTGCCCAGATTGTTACAATGGTCTGGTAATGGTATAATTTCACAAATGCTGTATTAGTACACTAAAGAGTTTGATGTTAGGTGTGGCAACAAAACGGGTTGACTCTGACATGAAGGAAAATAGAAATGTAGCTTCACTTTCCCCATACTTCTAGGATGGGAATAGAATTTTGAAGGCAATACTTTGCATTGAGAAACTACAATAGAATATAGAAGTCATTAAGATACTTAGACTTATTTTAAAAGCTGGTTATTTAAGCAGACTGTTCTTGAGTTAATGCAATGTGATAACACATGTGCAGAGCTCGGATTTTTAAGATTTTAGAGTTAGCTAAGGGAGCTGCCCTAATTCTTTAGGGTTTGTATTTTTTTGGAATGAGGAAGTAAAAACATTGAAACTTGAAAACTCAGTACGCTTGAAAATGTGTAAAATGGTTTGCAGTTTACTTTTGAAGGGAAATTCATGAGCTTCAAGGAGAGACAAAGGAATTCCATGCTGGTTAAATAATTTTGGATAAGACAGTAAATTAACAAGAAAACATTCTTACTTTTTGACTCTCACTATTGAACTTCTCTGTAAAGTCTTTCTCATCCATAAGACTTTGATTTCAGCATGTGTAAATTCAGTGATGCACAATGTTCTGACAAAAAAATGTGTCATTCGCTGGATAAAGTGTTCAGAACAAGTTTTATCTTGTGTACTTGCATACTAAACAACATTCTTGCTAACTCTGTTCAGGGTGTCTGCATCAGCAGCTACAGTCTGTAATGGAGAAGCGGCAATAGTCCATAGCTGGTTTCTGAGCCTGTCGTTTCAAAGAAGAACTCCAGGAATCTCTGACTTGTGCTCTTTTAGTACCTGCTGCTTATATATATATACTTTTGTAGAAGCTAGGAAGCTTTTAAAAATTTTTAATTTAATCTCCAATTATTTCTTCAGACTGGTGGTGAGATGTTTATGGGTTTAAGTATATGAAAAATAGGTTTAGGAATCTCTCCCTTTTCTTGCTTCAGGAGAAGATGTCTACTGAAATTAGTTTCCTGTGCCAAATTATTGGTATTTAGGTATTAGAAATGTTAAGGTTTTATGTAACATAAAGCAAGCTATGAGTTATAACTGGACTAATCAGCAGAAAAGGACCTTTCATTTAATTAGTTTAGCTTTGGACCTTCATCTGTTGTGGTCATCTGTGTCATATGACCTTTCTTACCTTCATAACCAAGAGTGGTAAAAGAAACCCAAAACTAAACTTGGCCATGTTACCGGGGCTGTTCTTTACATGAAAAACTGAGCTGAAGCAGTACCATATAAAACTTGAAAAACCCTTCCAGATATCTAAGTGAGACTGTTTATCTCTTATATAAATACTGCATCCTCCTACATCATGGGACATTAGGAAGAGGCTTTGATGTATGACCTTGATCAGAGTTTCTGTTGATACTTTTCAGGATTTGCATGTGGGTGTTACTGCATGTAACAGTGATTTCTGTCTTACCTGCATAAACGATAGAGTGTGTGTGTTTCAGAATCCTTCCATCTTCAAATCTTAGTATTTCAGTGTTCTATGAAATTCTGAATTACACAGAGCTGCCTATTCTTAGCTAAATTTTTTGTAGGTTCTGTTTAGGCCTATGTACTTCTGTAGTAAATACTGCAGAATATAAAAGTACAAAAACTCTTAGGCCATGACTACAATGCTGATTTGAAGTGGGATGTGAGGGTAGCTAAAGGGGAAAGGGAAGAATGAGAGGTAGGAACCTCAGCATTTTCTTGTGATTAATTCTGTGATATTCCTAATTCTAAGTAAAGACTGTCTTAAAAATTCATTATTTTAGTAGTATTCAAATGGAAGCTCCAAAGCTAGACTGGAAGACAGTTTTCAGTGTAGCCCCTAAGTGTTTCTAAATACATAAATTAGTGACTTGCTATTGAAAGCACTGAAGTTAGGTGTCCTTTTCTGGGTACAACCTAATCCTAAAAGTGAGGCAGAAGTATTTTCTAATGACTGCAACAATTAATGTGTGAGTTTGTGATTGAGCAACTCATTTCCTCCCCAGCTTCATCTGGGGAGGAAGTTTTTAGAAATGACAACTCATCAAAATATAGAAGCATGATAGCTTGAATTATATTGTGTTCTTGAACTGCATTGCAGCAACTATCAGGAAAAAATGTGTGGAACTTGCATTAGTAATGGAAGCATCCAACATATCAATGCAAATGTCTTCCAGTGATGACGTGTCAAAGTCCTAATCTTCATAACATTATAGCTTTACTGTCGCAGTGGGGTTCTGAGACCTCTGTTTCCCAGCTCAGCCGGGTCGAGCATGGCAGAACAGATTGGGACAGGCATGATGGAGTGCCCAAAGATAGAATTTAATGTTCACTGGGACTGCATGGTCCAAGACACTGGTTCCAAAGACCCGGGGGCCTGGAACACTTCACAGTGTAAAGGGGTATCCAAGGGCAGGGGTCCAATCACAAACACAGACCAGGGACATGACCTGTCATGGAATGACTCCATCAGCATCCCCCAAGCACCCCACCCCCCAAGGCTTCAGGTTTATTCCCTCCATCTCTCCTGGTCAAAGGTATTATCCATCCCAGCTAATTCAGTTCCCACACTTTATCAGTTAATAGTTTCCTGTTCCTCTAGGTATAGTTCATTAAGTAATTTAATGACTTTTAAAGTTTTGTGATATCTTAATGACCATTCTTGGTACTGGACTTAGACATCAAATATTGCCCAGTGCTGTAAGAACAGCCATGCACAACAGCTTGTATTTGTTAAAGGCCTTGAGACACAGCAATTAATAAAAAAAGTTTTAAAAACCAGAAACAAACATCAGGGCATGATTTCTCAGTTTGAGAAGATGTTCATGATTTCAGTCTACATAAATAGCAACTTGTAGAAGAAATGGAGACTATGAACATGACAAGTGCATCTGTATAGGTGGAGCTGGTGATTTAAAAACCAGTGTAAGATGTAGTCTTGTATCTACAATGTATCTGGAGCTTTATGTTGGAAACAGAAGCAGAGTACTAAAGTAGACTCTCTGTAGTTTAGGTAAAACAAAAGCCTTCTTTCTGTATTAAATAGAACTAATTGGTAGAGCATTGGTTGCATTTTTATATTTTTAAATTTTTTTTTTTGTTGTTAAATATGCCCTATCATACCATATCATGAACATAGATGTGTTCAAGTTACTGGAACAATAGTTTTGAAGATTTTTTTTTGTTATCCTCTTGCGTGAATGAAGCTGATTCAGACAAAATATTTGCTTTTTGCACGTCTAACAAAAAGGAAAATTTCTACTCATGTTTAAAAACATAGGAAAAGCCAATCCTGTAATGACATTTCACTTTCAGGAAACTGGAGACCATGTTAGGGTATGAGAGAGGTAAAATAGCATAAAGTACATGTATGAATTAATCTGCTACTGTGTTCTTCAGACATACCTGTGTAAAGAATAGGATTTGTATGTTTGTCTTTCATATGGGAAAATATTTCAAATGCATTCAGCATTTATGAAGGCATGATAGTAGCTACAAGTTCACCAGGTATTTGAAAATTCCTTCAGAAAGTAGGAAAGATATTTACATAAGGGTATAAAGTATATTATGCAGGTCCTTTTGGCTCTGCAAAAACTTGTGGATAAATCACTTATGCATACTTTATAAAGTTACTAGTTTTCTCCTACGCACCAAGGAAATAAGAATTGAATTTACCACCAATGAAACATAATTCTAAATTTCTTTTGAAAATGAGATTATATTGAATCTTGTAACCCACAAGTACAATAATACCAGTAACTATTCCAGAAGGCTATTTTGTCTGTAATGTAATGAGGTGTGTTACATATGGGATTTCAATTTAATTAGAAGAGTAGGCTTACTGCTTGAAGAATGGTATAATAGCTATAGTTAAGCACATTTGTAAACACTTGTGTACCTTGAGGCTTGTGGTTTGTTTTACTTCTCATTATATTAAAGAGATAATGTATAAAACCCTAGCTTCCTCCAGCAGCATCTGTCTTTATTAGAGAACGCTTACAATATCTTCCATGAATAACAAAGATCAGTCAGAATCCTGTCTTGACTTGATGGTCATACGTGATTAGAATGAAAAGCTGAGATGAAGGACTTAGGGTGCTGAAGGTAACTTGCAGAATAATGGAGCTGTACATATAAAATACCATTTTTTTTCCTCCCACAAAGCCTTTCAACAAATTAGCTTTCTGTACAATGTTATTTATGATAGGAATGTTGTGATAAATCTGAAAATAGAACACCAGAAACAAACTGTAAAATGATAACGAAGTCTGCTTCTAAAATTTTTATTTGAGCACCATAAAAACATAAATGACAAGTGTGGAAGAACGTAATAGCCTTTACTTTTAAAAATAAATTTTAAAGTTTTCTTTATTTTTGTCTTCAAATTAGATTGTGAATTTTTCATTGTCCGCTTTGTATTTTATAACAGCAAAAGCTCAAGGAAGAGAGGGAGGCTAAACGTGCTCATCTGGACGGCAGGCATGAATACTTACTGGATATTGTTGCCTCTTGTGTGAATTTGGACAAAGCAGAAGTAGAAGATGCTATTCTTGATGGTAGCCAGGTAATCTGATGGATTTGAAAGTGAAGCTCATGGCATACTTTGGAACTAATATTACCATTAAATTCCTGGTGAGATAGTTTTCAAGCTTCACCCTTGAGATTACTCAAGTCTTCTCCTCGAAAAATATTTTTCAGCATTTTTAATTAATTTGAACAAAAGTGTTCTTAATTCCAGGACCTATTGTAATTATATTGATATTTAAATTGATTAGAATTTCCCTTTTCCAGTGGTTATAAATAATATGCTAAAACCTGTGACTATATTTCATAGTGAAACTACAGTGCGAAGTCTTCCAGTCCTTGAGTACGTAGCGCGCAGAGGTTCAGGAGTCCTGTCCACAGCAGGTTGCATGTTGTTGTTTCTGTCAGGCTGCCAGCAACGTTTGTGAGACTACATTGCAATCTAGTTTAGCAAATTAAAATACTTAGAAACTACTCGACAAAATAGAATGGCCTATGTGATCTGACTGTGACTACGTGAGGGCTAATACAAATTCATATATTGAGACATTGAAGAATTTCATTTTTTAAAAAAACCTAGGTAGACAGAAGTAGATCTTTTACTTCCCGACACTAATAAACATGGCCACGTTTTGGTTTTTATGGTTTGTTTTCTCTTGTATTCCCTTTCCATCTGCATGCCTTCAATTTATGCATTCCCATTTCAGGGAATAATATTGTTGAGAAACTGAAGAAAGTCCAGTGGAAGACCAGTAAGAAAGAGAAGGACACAGGGCACATGAAGTATGAGAGGAGGGAGAAGAAGAGGTTGAGTGGCAGTCAAATAGTAGCCTGCGGCTGCTTGAAGAGTGGTTGCAAAGATGACAGAGCTGAACTATTCTCAGTGGGTGTAGATGATAACTCCAGAGATAAAACCACATCTTGCAAAATGGCCACCAAGAGACCCTTCTTCACCAGGAGGGTAATGCAGCATGGGAATAGGTTACTTCAAGTCAGTTGTGGAACTTCTGTCCTTGGGGTTTGTGAGACAGCCTAGGAAAAGCTCGAGATGATCTGACCTGCTATTGGTGACACAGGAAGCTGGCCTCGAGACCTCTCAGAGGTCCCTTCCAACATTTCTGTGACTTCATGAGATAGCAAATGTACAGTGCAGAACACTGTCATGCACATTAAAAAGCAGAATTTGTTTCAGCCTTTGTGCATTCTATCTCTAAATGGGTTTTCTGGTGAACTATACTGTCTGAGAATAGATGTCAGATCAGGAAAATGTTGGCAGTCTCTATACTGGAAAAGAGAAAAGTGTAATCGTTGTTTTGACCTTATCTTGGAGGGCTCAGCCAAGATTTTCTGGAATAGCAGTTCGTTATCTTGGTGTAACTGAGGCTTGTTATTAATGGAAGAGGTATAACTGTGGCTTTCTTCAGGCTTCTGGTGAATCTTTTAGCCTTTTTTCTGCACTAGAAAGCACAAATGGTACCACCTAACATTTCTGAAGATGAACTTGAAGGAGCCTTTTCTGCTAAAGATAGCTATGTAGTTAGGGACTACATAGAAGAGTGACTCAGATCTAGAAAAATAATGGATGAGGCCAGGCTTTAAAGTGCTGAGAGATGGAACAGCATATCAGCATAAGGCAACCCAGTTTCTTCCTCAGCCTGTATTGCCTATACCTGAGATTTTTGGACTGCACTACCAATACATGCTTCAGTGATGCTTGATGGCAGCCTTGAATTGATGAAGAACTGTGAAATTGTCCTGATGCTTATAAATAAGTATATAAGCAAAGGCTTCCTCTGTTGCTGTGATATGAATCAAATCATTGACATATTATGATCTCAACATGATTTCAAACAGATAGAACGCATTAACAGATTCCTCGCTCCTGGAGGTCTTCGTCATCTGATGTTCTACTATCAAGACGTGGAGGTAACGGATACAGGTAAAGCAACTTCTATTTTCCTGCAACATGTTATAGTTGTGCTGAGCAAATGTGCAAGGAAAAAGAAAATAGTCAAGTTCTTATAAACCGGGACTTCAAGCAAGTCAGGCTTGGTCATACCAAGGCATTGATCCTTGCTCATGAAATGAGGATTGGTGAAATTACTGAAGCTTATTAGTGCACTTCTACATATTGCTACTATGAAGCAGCAAAGTGCTTCCTTGTGAACTCAGCATCTCTTGCCTTTGGGAATTAGTTTTTGATAATTAAAAAGTGAGGTTCACACAAGGTAAGCAGTGACAGATGCCCTTGCTCCTCCCCTTCAATCACACCACCTGTTAGCCCTAGAAGCCATCCACATTTCTTGGCGCATGACCATCTGTCTAGGTGGTTAGATGGTGGTTATCTAGGCTGTTACATGACAAAGGCCTTCATGAGGCCCACGTTATAAGGGGTGTTACCCCATAAGACCCTTCTGCACATACTCCTTTATCGAGTGCTCCCCTGTTCCACACTTCTGGGGGAAACCTCCTTCTCCCTTACCCTGGAGGTAGCTGAAGACCCCTGTGACAAGGACATCCTCCTTTTGCCCATGGCTTCTCTCTCCGAGCCTTCACTGCTACTGCTGTTGGGACTAGCCAGGTGCTCTGTGACCTCTCAGAGCCTGTGACTGGTTGGTGGGAGCTCACCCTACTTGGTTGCCCTGGATGTACATGAACAGCCCTGTAAACATATGTATATATAGCTGTATAAATGCGTTTATACATAGGTAAATATATACCTAGATTAATGTACAAATACGGATTTATATTTCGTGCATTTTCAGTATATATGTATGTATGTGTTTTCTTCAGTGTAACTATCTGTGTATATATCTGAAAGGGATGAAAAGACTATTTAATATGATATAAGCAAGTTTAATACAAAAAGTTTCAATGCACATTAAATACATTATACATTAATGTACAGAAATACATTAAATGAAAACACAAACCCAACCACTAATTTAGAAATCTGATGAGCAAGTTTTAACATGCCTGAGATGAAGTGGTGAAAGTATGATAAAGAGAGTGTGAGGCAAGGGTCAAAGCCTAGGAATCTGATGAGAGTTGCCCATGCCCACGCGCAAACCAATCAAATCACACTACAGTATGGTATGATTTTGGTAACCTTTTGGGGTGTGGTGCTAAATGTAAGCAATATGGAAAGCAGTAGGAAAAAACCACACAAGCGTAACCCAAATGAATTCACAGCAAGGTGTGCACTGTAAGCAAAAGTAGAACATCAAACACAGGAAGAAAAAAAGAAAAACAAAAGTAAAAAAAAAAGAAAAAAAAAGAAAAAAAGTAGTGATGGAGAAGACAGTGGGGATTAAGCGAGTGGGCTGGAGACTGGCTTTGCCTACAGCTGTAAGTGTAATACTATCAGACAGTAAAACTTACACTATACATTTTTCTTTGTGGGTGGAGCAGAGTTTGTAAAATAATTATCTGTGTTGATTGTTTAGGGCTGTGGTTCACAGGCTGTCAAAGCAAAAATCTCAATTGTTGTGGTGGCTACCAATTGGTAAAATTAAGTGAATTTTTGTGGCACTACATACACCCTATTGGCAAGGGCACTTACTGTGGCCACCTCATACACAAGCTGATTTTCTGACCTTGATATGGACCAACCAACACTTCTGTGAGGGCAGAAGATGATCCCATGAAGGGAGCGTACAAGAAATATTGTGTCTCTGCAGAGCAGGAGACTGTATTGAGTTCAAGAAGATCTACTTCAGAGTCTTAAGCTGGCATTTAAAAGTTTGATTTCTGTCAGTGTTTTGAACTGGCACTATTCACTATTCATGTGAATTTAAAAAACTTCTAGGGCCCCTACGTATTTTCTAAAGAGACTGCTCAACTTTTCGTGGTCTTGTCTCTGTAATAACTTGTGGCACTTTGACCATGGCCAGATTCTAGGCACCCACGAAAGCTGCTCACTTGCCTGCCCTCCCCTGCTTCAGCTGGACAGAGGAGAGAAAATTTGTTGAAGGTTTCATGAATTGAGATAAGGACTGGAAGAAACACTCCAAGGGAAAAACAAGCTCGACTTATTAAGTGAATTTATTACTAGCTGAATCAGAGCAGGATAATGAAAAGTAAAATAAGCCTTTAAAAACAGCTTTTCTTCCCCCAACCCCTCCCTGCTTCCCACTGACAGTGCAGGGAGACAGGTTCTGGTCAGTTCATCACCTGAGGTTTTCTTTCACTGCTCAGGGAGAGGAGTCCTTCCCCTGTGAGACCATGGGGTCCCTCCCACAGGAGACAGTTCTCCATTAAATTCTCCAGTGTGGTTCCTATCTCATGAGCAGCAGTCCTACCAAAACTGCTGCAACATGAGTCCCTCCCATGGGCACACAATCTTCCCAAAACTGCTGAAGTATGGGTCACTCTTCCACAGGGTGCAGTCCCCCAAGAACAGGATGCTCCAGCCTGGAAGCAATGGACCTCTCCACTGGGTTTCCCATGGGACCACAGCCTCCTCCAGGCATTCACCCACTCCAGAATGGGCACCACCCCATGTTCTCACCTCCTCCTTCTCTCTGGCTAGATATAAATCAAAAGTTTGTTTTGATTTTCCTCTCAAATATGTTATCTCAAAGGCATTACCAGCATCTCTAATTGGCCAAGCCTTGTCCAGCAGCATGTCCATCAAGGACTGGCTCTGCTGGACATGCTGGAAGCTTCCAGCAGCTTTTCACAGAAGCCATCTTCTGTGGCCCCCCTCACTACCAAGAACCATGCAAAACCAAGTCATTACTGCAATACAAAGATAGTGCAAGTTTATTAGCATGCAATAAATCATATTTTATGCATTACACCATCTACAGAGTCAGGTGTTTTGCTGGTGGCAGAGTCCTTGTTGTACTTCTGAGGTATATGAAAAGGAGACTTCTTCAGAGCTGTGGTGAAAAAGGGGAGAGGGAAAGATGATGCAAACAGGAGGGTGGGGAGGGAACTTATGGTGACCACCTGATCCAAAATAAGGATCCCTGGGGCAGATGGTCATGTACCTGAAAGAAGAAAATGTGCAGAGTGGTCTATAATTTTTTGGATTTTGTTCTTTAACTACTGGTATCAACAATTTACTTTTTCATCTTATTGTTCTAGTGCTTCACTGAGATGTGTAGGCATGCAATTTTACTCTGAGGTAATACTGAAAAGATAGTAACAAAGACATATTGTGACCAAAAACATATGAAAATATTGTACCCACAAAGACTCTGCTTCTTCTTAGTGACCCTTTACAAGTGTTGCCAGTAGCCTGAACATGGGAGCAATATATTTGTGTTGGGGGAAGAAGAAAGGACAAGGAAGCCCCTTATACCTTCCTTATTGGTGTTTGTTTGTTTATTTGCTTACCCCACAAAGAATCTGCTGTGGCCTCTTTCCTTCTCCTAGAAGCACCCTATCTTTTTTTTTTTTTTTCTTTCCTTATATTTACATGTTTTTAGGGAAGGACAGTTGATAACAGCTCCTCTAAGGTAAAATACATAACTACATTTTCTGATTTTTCTTTAATTTTCCTTTTTCAAGCAAGAGAGCATTATCTACAACTGCATGATAGAGCCTATAAAGGACCTTGAGTCTGAGCCATTATTTAGAAGGAGTAGAAAAACAAGTAAATGAATAGAAATGAAAGTCTTTTGATACAAGAATGGCAAAACTAGATGAGGTATTTCTTACTGTGCCATGAGGACTCTGAATCCTGCATACTTGCTGTGGATAGTTCCATAAGGTGCCTCCAGGAGACTGGGATGAGTGGCACAAATAATGACCGATCTGTTTGTGTAGAAAGATTTTGCTTGAATAAATAATCAATGGATCTTAATTGTTTCTTTGTTTGAATCTGTAGAGTACTTTGGTCTTCCAGGAATAGGAACAAACTCTCATTTGACTAAGAAGAAGAAACTTAAAATATTTGTGACAGAGGGAAAAGAAATTGCTTTAACTGGTGTATGCATTTTCTTCATTAGATCTAATTTTTCTAAACCCATCACAACTGAGAATATCTATCAAGTAAGTCAGAGACTGCTCATCTCTGTATATAATCTTGTTTAAAATTCGTTTTTACCAGGGGGTATTTGCTCTCAGCATATAATTTGACAGCTCTTGATATGGAGGAATGAGTAAAAGGACACAGATGCATTAAATGAAACAGAACAAAAAGTGAAGGGAATGGAAGTACAGATATTCTCTTGTGGCAGCAACTTAATGAATATCATTAATATGAAAAAAGGATGCTAAGGAAGAAAATTTAAGACAATCTGTAATGAGAGAATAATTAGTCAATACCTAAATACTAAGGTGTTAAATTTCAAAAAAACTCTAGCTAATTCATTAGAAAAACAAAGATTATTTTACCTTTGAAAGTCTATATGTAAATTGTATATAACTAAGTTTTTACTGGTGAAAGACCCTTGCATTTTGTCTCTTTTACAGGAAGTAAATTTTCATATGATGGATATAGGTCGAGATGGCTTATTAAAAAGTGTTGAGCAGTTGGTATCAGAAATATTCATCCCAGCCTTACAGACTATGGACCATAGCTGGGTTGAACCTCAACAAGTTCCCAGTATTAAGCAGGACTTCCTTCGTGCCCTTGAAGCATTTGTTAGTCTCCTGTCAGGAACTCAGCAAAGTCTGTTGGAAAAGGTAATATGTTCACATGGCAAATAGAAAGTGAGCTAGCTGTAGAATGTCTCTAGCTCTGGACCTTTTGAATTAACTGCTGTTGTAGATTACTCATAAAAATTGCTTTTGTTAAACTGGAGAATAACCCAACACTTCTGTTTATTGTAATCAGTAATTCATTATACTTTGATCTGCAGTTTTGGTATTTCTGTAGGTGCTTCTGTTCTTGTTTGTTCTGGGGCCAGTTCTTTAGAGCTATTAACTTCTTGACTCTCCAGGGGCTGTAGTCACTCTCAAATGTTGAATGATTAATGTATGACAAACTGTTCTTTAACTGGTTTGTTTCTACTTGGCTTTTGTGAAGGAAAGGGCAAGAAAGCACAACTGCCTGGCTGGTGAATTCTCAACATTCACTTCTTCCACTTGTGGCTCAAACCAGTTTAATTCAGACTGTGCTGGGAATAGGAAGTGAGATACTTGAAGTAGGGTAACAAATTAGTCTTTAAAGTTCCTAGGTTATTTATCATGAGCATTCAGCATTTCATATTTTTAAACTTATGTTTTAGGTCAGCCTGAAGAAATGTGAAACATATGACCTGAAAACTCTAAGAGGACCTTCTGATTACTTGATGGTTGCTAACAGCATAGAGGCTCTTGAAAAAATAGAAGTTTGCATTAAAGAATGGACCAAACAAATTGAACAGGTGATACACGGGACAAATATGAAATATGACAACATCTTATCTTGGCAGATGAGTTTAATCCTGCTGGTATTATAGCTACCTTTCTATAAATTTAGATGAGTTCAATCTCTTTATTTTAAAGTACTGTTGGTATTTTATTTGTGCTTTTGCTTCTCAGTGGGAATATTACTGAGAGCTTTTTCCATCAGCTAGTGAATATAGGATACACAGTTTGGCAAGTTTAGTCCCCTGTCTTTGATAATTACTTGTTATTAAAGTACAAAAGAGTTAGTGGTTCCCAGTGGATTTAATGAAAACAAAAAGAACACAGTAATTGAGTGAATACTATTCTCAGTGGTCACATTTGTACTTTGAAACATGCTTTGCAGGTTATTTGCAGAAAATGTAACTGTCTGTAACAGTGCTCTTGGAACAGAAGGAACAGATTCTCTTCTTTAACTTGGAAATAAAAGGACAAAGCAAAATGAAGTTGCTTATATGAGGTGGAGGCTAAGTTAGGTAATTTATCAGGCGAGGTTAATGTGTTAAATGTAGAATTAATCCATGGTACCTCTTCAGATAAAAACTGTGAGCATCACTCACATTACTCTATGATAAAAGGTTCTTGCAGAAAATGACCAGTTGAGAAAAGAAGCAGATGACCTTGGACCACGAGTAGAGCTTGATTATTGGAAAAAGAAATTGTCAAAATTCAACTACCTTATGGAGCAGCTGAAGAGCCCAGATGTGAAGGCAGTGCTTGGAGTACTCACTGCTGCTAAATCCAAACTGCTGAAGGTTTTTATTTTAAATTATGACATTTTTTATTATTAGGACTAGAAATGCTGTTTATACCCTCGCTCATTTTGACAATTTATGAAACAATGCTGGTGGGGAAAACATTGAAACATCTTTGCCTTTTGCTTTCTTTTTCCTTCTCTGTTCCTTAGATTGAGTAGATAAAGTTTAAATCTAGTTCAATTTATTGAAAAAGACTGGGAATCCCCTCAGTCTAAAGGCTGATAATGTACTTCATATGGCTCAACAGAAATAAATAATTTAAAATATTGGAATAGTTATTAAATCAGAATATCGAATGAAAAACATTTAATGACAAAAAAATGAATCCTTACATTTTTAAGCCTCTTTTTTATGTTGTTACAGTGCCTGTCAAAATTTTTTGTGGAACCATGACTTCTTACATTGACAAAACAAATTTAAAGTCCCATCACCAACAGAAATTAAGTAAATAAAACAAAAAAATCTTGTCTCATCAAAATGAGATGTGAAACAAATACATAGTTATATATCCATAATTCATATATTTTACAGCATCTTGACTGCACACTACCACTGACTATTTAGTTGAGTGGTCTAAACCAACTGTATGTTCACAGTCAAGTTACTGAAACAAGACAAGGACCTCGTCTTGGGAGAACAAGTATAATTCTGAAGTAAAACATCTGTGTTTTCAATTGTGTTTAGAAGCTAATGACAAACCAAAATGATGTCAAAATACTTTTCTCTGAAATGCATACTTTTGTTTTTTCAACTTTCTGTTCTTAGAAGTGGCGAGCATTGGATATTCGCATCACAGATGCAGCAAATGAAGCTAAAGATAATGTGAAGTATCTGTATTCTCTGGAAAAATACTATGACCCATTATACAATGGCGATCCTGTAAGCAGAACTTTTAAATTCTCAACATAAATTTATTGAGACAAGCAGCATGAATATATTCTATTGAATGGGTTTGGAAATGAAACAGAAAATTTTACATGTGCAACTCCAGTTTGAGATTTTGTGCAGTTGTGGTAAAAGTGTCTTAATGGGAATTTCTGGCTACAAAATAAAATACTTGTTATTTTCATACCGTAGTGTCTATAAAGCTTTTGTTCTTGATGATGAGCCTGGATTCTGTGCTATGGGAGAAAGTGAATTCCTTAAGATCAAAAAAAAAGAAAAGTAAACTTAATACTATGCTAAAGATGAAGTTTGATCTTTTGTCTTTGTGTTGGTGGCCAGGTCATGGTTAGACTAACATTTTTAGGGCAATTTTCAGCTTCTTGGGTTGGGAAAGGATCAATAGTGTTATGTAAATATTAAGACATAACTATAAATCACCTTCTCATATTATAGGATGAGAATGCATAGGATGACGCAAGCATAACAGGTAGTAAACAAAACCAGCCACCCTAAATCCAGGAGTGGAAGAGTTTCCCTCTCCCATTATCTGCTAAAATAGGTGGCAAATAATTGCTTTTATTAAAACTGGTTTTGCAACTTGTGTGTCTTGCTACTCAAAGAAATATGACTGGTAGCTATGAAGACTCAAAACTTTGACCTGTCCTAGCTTCCTCTCTCTCTGAAACTTTTTCCAAAGCCAAATTGCTTCCAAAGAGTGCTCAGGGCAACCATGTTTGTTTCCGTTTACTGGGTGATGTGTGTTCTTTTAGTGTTCCAAATCTACTATTTGAGTTTCTCTATTGAAAGGTAATTGGGTTATGGTAACCATAAAACCAGAGTAAACTTGCTACTGGCACTGTGCAGGGTCTGTTGAGCTGGCTTGCTTTGTGCTTCAAATGAAGGTTTTCACCAAGGAGAAAGGGGTGCCCACTTTGGAGATGTTTAGTTTTTGCCATGGTGTAGCACTTGGGATGAAAGCCATAGAGGCATGGAGTGTGAAGCCTTTCCCTTACTGATATTTACCTGTACAATTATGAGAATGAGTTTGTCAACAGAATAAAACTGTCATTGCTTTAGAGATTCAGATGTGATGAAGAGCTATCTGCAAAATCTTTGTCTGGTCTATTTTGTCATTTGGTCAATTTTATGGATTGAAGACAGGACTGCTACAGTTTTGAAATGATACTTTTAAGAAAAGTATTTAGTAAATTATTAGTAAATAAAAAATATTTATTATTTTTTATTTTAAATTAAAAATTTAAATAAATTATTTGTCTTATACACAAAACTTACTGAAGGCCATAAGGGATACGAAGAATTAAAATGGGTGTGATGGTGTGACCTTGTCTATTCATCAAGCGTTCTCTCAATCCTCATACTCAGTAGGATGGGATGAGAATATAATATGAAAAGGCTCATGTATTTTTCCATGACAGGAGTATCACTCTTTATAATCATGGGCAAAACAGACTCAGTTTGGGGAAAAATATCTTTATTGACAGTGAAATACATTTGGGTAGTGACAAACGAAATTAGAAATTAAAGCCACATATCTGCACCACCGGGCTCAGCTTCACCCCTTCAATCCCTGTTTCTCTTCCTTCTCTTTCCAAGTGGTGAAAGGGTTCTCTTTATATGCAAGCTCACATCAGGTTCAGCAACTGAGCATATAAACACACTTTCTTTGTGAAAAAAGGGGTTCTTTTGAAGAGGCCTTCTACCAAAATTCACTCACTGATCTGAATTGTCCCAGCCAAGATTCTAGTGAAAATTTTCCCCCCAGATTAAATTGTAGAGCTTGGAGAATGACACAGGACAGGCAGCTCTGTGGGAGAAGTCCAGGTAGACAGGGACAGAACCATTCCAAAGACCATGTTCATAATTCTTCTGCATTCACTAACTAGGTATTGTGCTAATATGTGGTAACAGGGGTACTAAGCAGACTTCAGACTGTGTGTTTCTTTCCAGGTGTCCATGCTGGATTCTATTCCAGGGCTCATAAATGCAATTAAAATGATTCAGAGTATCTCTCAATATTACAACACTTCTGAAAAGATCTCCTCACTGTTTGTGAAGGTTGGTGCTCAGTGGGAAAAGAAATATTCCCAGATTGTTTTCTGTGTTGTTGCTTGAGTGCAAGAGAAAACACAAAGGAACCAAGCAATTGGAGAGGCAGCACTTTATTGCTGCTTTTTGAACACATAAAGAATTGGAAATAGTGATAAACTACTTCAAATTGTTATTATTTTACTGCCGTAATTTGGAGTTGTAGGAACATTTTCAGATTTAAATCTCACAAATCTCACCTCTGATGTACACAGAGTAACTTTTTTGTTACAAGTTTTGCCTGTTATGAATGTTGTTTTTTTTTTTTGTAGAACCAAATACTTTAAATTCATATTGCCCTTAAACCTCCACATATTTGCATAAAGAAGGAAATGGATTGGAAAGACAACCTATTCTTTACCATTTGTACTCTCATGAGCTCTTGATTTTACCTTTGCCTTCAGAAGAGATGAAGTCTTATGACTTTGTAGCCCTCAATGCTATTTCAAGCTTGGTACAAGATGTGTAGGTTTAGGATGAGCATAGTTAATCAACAATGTTTTTGTCATGTCACATTCTGGAGGCTGGGTGTTGCAAGGAGGACAGTCTATTGATGTGGCTGGTATTTGGTACTGCTATTTGTCAGGCTTTAGGTCAGTGGAGTCAGAGGAATGGGATGAGACTGAGGGAATGGCATGATCTGCTTTGTCTTGAAATGCTGGTTTTTATCATGAAGTCAAAACTGCTTTTAGGTGACCAATCAGATGATCACAGCATGTAAATCTTACATTGCAAACAATGACACAACCACCATCTGGAATCAACCGCAGGAGAGAGTTGTGGAAAAGCTACAAGCAGCTATTAGACTTAAACAGGTAGGTGGGAAGAACATATAGAAAATATTATAAGGTGATATTTAGGAGAGCAAGAACAGGAAAATTTTATGTGAGAATGCACTTTTATCTTGAAGAAAATGAGTTAACTGAAAAATGTCCACTGGAACTGGAATGTTTATGCTAGACCTAACAAGGAATTTAATCTGTTGCCTGTTGATCTTCTGGAAACAGAATTTTGATGCTTAGTCAATCTTAACTGTGCTTATAAGATAATTGTTTGGATTTTCATGCCTGTGATTACCTAGTGTCTTCTCACTTGATGTGGAGAGTTATGAAAAAGAAATTAAAACAAGGAGAGTTACTGAGTTGAATATATTCCAAAGATGTGTGGACAAGCTATACATTTAGAAAGAGCAATTTAGTGAACTAAGAAAAATACAGCTGTTCAGTTGGCCTAGACTTGTCAGGAAGATAGCCTTTGGGTTTTTTTAATAACCTTCTGTGATAATTTTTTAATTTTATTTTTCTTTGTTCTTTTTTTTTTTTCCCCTTAAAGCATAGTATTATACAATAATTCGGCTTGGAAGGGGCCTCAGCAGGTATCTAGTTCAAGCTTCTATTCAAATCCAAAGCAGGGGCAGTATAAGATCAAATTTGGTTTCCCAATCCTTTATGCAGTCCTATCTTGATGTTCTCCAAGGATGGAGAGATTGTACAGTCTGTTTGGGCATCCTCTGTTCGACTGTCCTCGGGATGAAAGATTCTCTCCGTATATCCAGTCAGAACCTCATCCATTTCAATTTATGCCCTTTGCTTCTTGGCTTCTGTCCATGAGTTACTGTGAAGAAGACTCTGACTCTCTCTTTAGTCTATTTTCTCTACATATCGTGAGCTTCATATAGGCTTTCTGCATTATTTTTTTTTAATTCCTTATATGTGCTTGCAGGACTAGAGCTTTATCCTAGTATCTCCTGAAGCAACAAATCTTGCCTAATTCTAACATAAATTAGTGTAAATTTGTATGACATCTTACCATCAGCAATGAGCACTGAACTTGTATTTTTCTATAAAGATGTATCAAATTGTCCAGTTGCTGCATGAAAATATTTTGAAAAATCTGGTATTCATTTGAGTCTTATTAGTTCCAGAAGCTTTCAGAAATTCAATAAATTAAAACTTACAATTTGAATCACTAACAACATAGCAAAATCTGGACCCTTTGTATTGATATCTCCAAGTGGGATTAGGAAAATCTGGACCCTTTGAACTGATATCTCCAAGTGAATTTATTCATACATAAATGTGATAAAGGAATGAACATTTCATTATAAAGAAAACTGCCTGAAAAAAACTATTTCAAGCAAATATGTTGACTATTTACTTTGACTTTGGGAAGACTTTAGCATGTTTGGAGTAAGGTTTGTGCCTTGTTATGAATGTAGAATGAAAAGTAGAAGCTGCTATGGAGTGGTATTAAAACTTAAAGAAGTGATTTACTCTTGAAAGTGATTTTTGAACCTTAATTACTCAGTAAAACTGCTCAGCATGTATTTTCAATCTCTGGAAACTGAGCTTTCATCTTGGTTAATCAGGAAACACATCAAACCCTGCTATGAAATGGAGGGAACAGAATTTCATGCTAGATAAAGGCATGTACAAATACATATATGTGCAGTTCAGTCATTTGATGAAGTGTAGAATCCTTTAACGGCATTGATGGGTTAGTTTTCAGAGGTAAATTCTGTTACTCTCTTTATAGTGTTCGTGATTGTTTATTGATGCAACTTCTACTAGCTATCAGGTTAAGATAATAATCTTGTCTATGTAAATTTTGTTCTGTGCCTTTTGTTATATGCTTGACCTTCTTTTAAATTCTGTGTTTTAAGGAGTATCAAAGTTGTTTCCACAAGATAAAAGAGAATTTGGAACAAAATCCAGCTGGAAGACAATTTGATTTTAGTGAGATGTATATATTTGGAAAATTTGAAGCTTTTCATCGTCGTCTGGTAAAGATAATAGATGTTTTCAATACTATGAGAACCTACTCAGTTCTACAAGAATCTAAGATAGAGGGATTGGAAGAAATGATCACAAAATATCAGGTACACATCAGCTTTTGTATATTGTGTCAGTCTAACTTGTACCTTTAAAACAAAATTATGAAAATTAAGAAAGTGTTTATTGAGAGAAAAATTAACTCTTTAGTTGCGCTAAAATTACTGGGTAATTGCAATGTAAATATGTGATTACTGGGGAAATGAGCAGACAAGATGAAAGAAAAGGTGCAAGTGGACATGTAAAAGAAGTATGCTAAAATCAAAGCTGATTGAAATAAGCAACAAAGTGGTGTAACTCTGTAACAGGAGTAATAGGAGCATGGTTTTGTGCTATGATCAGGAGAAAAAGTGAGAAGTGCTACATTTCTGTCTCAACAAATGTTGGGCTAGCTGTAAGTGCCCCTTTGCTCCTTTAGTATTACTATGCAGTTTTCTTTCCTGATTTTTTTTTAAGAGAAGTGTGACTTGAGCAATAAGGAGACCTTCTAAGAACATAAACATGTTAAGTCATATTCTTTTCTTTCCTTCTTTCTCAGATAGCTTTCTTTGCTACCAAATGGAGTCTTTTCTGGTTTTACTGAGCTTGAGTTAGCTTTCTTTTTTGTGTAACTATTAGTGCAGTATCATAATTATTGCATCTGTAAATATTAAAATAAATCAAAAGTACTCAATGTGAGGACTTTGTAGATAGCTTTTTGAGATCACATATGATACAGTGGCTGTACAGGCAAATATGGAATTCTAGTTTGCTATACTTTGTCCTTTGCCTTTTTGTTATGGTCAGGAGTCAATCAGTTTGCCTTAGTGAAATAACTAGTATAAAACGTGACCATTCTGTGGTCCTTCCTGGCTTGCTTTACTCCCTCTCTAGTCTGGGGTTTTGATTCCTTTAAAACATCCTTCACAGCAGCCAGTTTTCCGCTTTGTTCTGTTCTGTAGTCTACTGAGAGTTAGCCAGGGCACAGCTATAAGGATATCAAGACTCTTCCATGTGGCCAGGACAGGTGTGGACTGCTCTAAATTTTGTTTCCAAGGGCTGCTCTCCAAAGCTGCGCCACCAGGCTTCTCAGCAACCCAGGTAGCTCAGAATTTACAGATCATGCAATTAAGGTACTATTTTGGTAGGCTGGAACACAGGAATCTGATTTGTTTGGGGCATTTTTGTTTGAAAAGCTGCCTGTGACCATCAGCCCAGGCTGTGATGAAAACTCCATACAAGTGGACCTCACTATCCATTGCAGCACCCAAGTCCTTGAACAAGAGCTTTGTGTGAGACCTACCTGCTGTAGAGTCAATTGTGTTTTGGGATGAAGAGTACTTAGGTAAAAAATGTTACATGGAAGGCTCTGGACAGGTTGTGTAAAGGGCAGAAAAGTGATTGCACGTCTTTTTAAAGCGACAAAATTGAAGTACTCAAGTATTTGATATAGACCATAGCTATAGTTATTATGTTACTGATTACATGTCTTAAATTTTTTTTACAATAGGAATTTACTATTTTGCTGTTCTTTATGCTTTAACACCTAGTCCCTATCTAGGATTTGCTTGTTAGAGGAAAATATGGAATTTTTATTTACAGCAATGCAATGAAACTGAGTTTCAGTTGACTTACCATAAAATGATGGAATTCAGCTGAGCTGAAAATATGCTGAGTTTCATAGCTATACTGTGGTAAACTACTAGGATGTTGAACAGTAGTTTATCATTAGAAATCTTTTATCTGTGTGTACATCTCAAGGGATATGCTGATTAAGATCTACTTTGAAGTGTGTGGACAGCAGCTGTGTAAGAGAAGCCAGGAATACTAAATTGTAGGCTGGTAATGTGCTGCATCTTACTGTGCTTTTTGAATAGTCTATATATACATATGGAATCAGTTGTTTAAAGGACATGGAAAATAATAATGTGAAAATATTTTTCTCTGTTGAACTTTAAGTTTTGAAATGAAATTAACATCTGCATGACAATGCTTAATGAATAAAAATGTCTTTGATGAAAAGCAAGTTTGAATTTTCTGTCAGTTCTAATTGCCTTGAAGCAGAAATAATATAAATGAAATTCGAATGGACATTACACCAACTGGATTCCTGCAAATATTTCTTTTAAAGGGTTTGCTTATATTACTCAGTAAGTACTGGGAAATATTAGCAAAGGTAAAGTGTGAGTGTGCACAGCCTGTTGTGCTAAATGTTTGGTGTGGTAAGTCTTTTTCATAAGACATTTTTGGTAATAGTTTTCTTTTTCTGTGAAACTGTTTAGAGCATTGTTGACAACATGAAGAATAAGCATTATGATTTCTTGGATCAGCGGAAGACTGATTTTGACCAAGACTATGAAGAGTTTTACAAAGACATAAATGATCTTCATGTAGGTTTTATGATACAATTAAGAATTTAATTTACTGATTAAGCTTCATTATTCTCTGAGTTACCATCAGAAAAATTTTGCAAATCTCAAAGTTTGTGTTCTGAAATTAAAAAATTATTCTAATATATTTCCACTTTAAAGCTTCCATTTATTATCTTTCAGAGTAGTTTAATGGAATAGGCCATTGAGGAGCCTCCAACAAAAGGATTTTTCATTCCTGTATGCTGGCAAGAATAACTAAAATGGGTGATTTCATTGAGTGAATAGGAGCATAGTACAAATAAGTCAGATAATTAACTTTCCAATAGTTCTGAAATCACATGTTGGTGAAAGAACAGGTTATTTCCAGAAGAAAAAAAATAAAATTAAAATAAATGCTGGTCTTGCTTTGGCTGCCAAAAAGGTAACCAAGCATTCTTCGAGGCCTCAGCATGGTACAACGTTGGAGGGTACAGAAACTTTTGTTGGTTGCACAGCTACGGAGGGAACTTGGAAAGAAAATGCCTCGAAAGTTGGCTGTGTTTTGTTTAATTATTTTGGGAAGAAAGAAAGGGAAAAATAATACTTATTGAGAGAAGTTTCACGTAAACAAATTATCTTCCAATGTATCTCAAGTTAAATCCTGCCAAATAATACTTGGCATATTTGATGTGTGTTCCTTATGGACTTCTCCAATGTAGAATTATTTACTCTTCTTCAGGATCAATTAAGAAGTTTCATGGACATCACCTTTGAAAGTATTTTGAACACTGAAAGGGCACTGAGTATGTTGCAGAAATTTGAAAGGTAATATGTCCTATTTAGATTGCTAAAACTCTGCCAGGCAGTGGAAATAAGACATTGAGGATGGTGGAAAGGGCAGGGGGAGGGGGCTGCAGAGCAGGAGGCATTTTCTTAAATACAAAGGAAACCAACTCAACCTTTTTACTCTCAGCTTTTCAGCCCTGTTAAGAGTTGTCTTAGTAGCTTGAATGAATAAAATTTTAATAATTTTTGTATCAGAAAATGCAAAATATAAGTGGACTTTGAACTTCATCTTTCAAAATCAGCCTAAGGACAGGGAATCTTTGTCTGTTAAGAATATTTGCATTAGCTTTGTGTTTGAACAACGACATTCATTTGTTACCACAAGACAGTCAGAAAAGAGTAAAATGCTCTTATTAAGAAACAGTGAAATTTATCTTTATAAATTAACATTGTTGCAAAACAGTCTCACTCTTTTTTCTGCCAATTTTTGTATTATACTCTGTTTAATAGAATAGACAGCTAGTGATGAATTGGTTACAGTTTGCTGCACATTATTTCAGCCCAGTGCTTGAAAACAGTGACAAAACAGAAAATGTGTAGGCTTACTTGGAAACTTTTATCATCTGGTCTAAATCTGTGTTGCTTGGAATCAGGTTGTGACAGCATTTGTTCAAGCTGAAAACTCTGCTGCTGAAGTAGTTATTTTCTTAAGCATGCAAGGGAATCTGGAAGGACTGTATTTTCTAACAATGCATTAGAAGGATTTCAGAAGTGTTGAAGGCATTTCTTCATGATTATTATTTTCTAAGCAGATTGCAAATCCCAAATCTTGGCATTGATGAAAAGTATCAGAAAATATTTCAAAACTATGGCCATGACATAGAAACAGTCTGTAAGATCTACACTAGGCACAAGAAGGACCCACCACTGGCTCGTAATCTGCCTCCAGTAGCTGGCAAGATCTTGTGGGCACGCCACCTATTCCATAGGATCAAGGAGCCCATGGATACTTTCCAGAGACATCCAGCAGTTCTGCAAACACCAGATGGCAAGAGCATAATTCGCAATTACAACAAAGTAGCAAAAGTTCTTATGAAATTTGAAGTGATCTACCACAGAGAATGGCTTCAGCAGGTAAGGCAGCTGATTTTGATTAAGAGATTCCTTAAAGAAAAAATTTTAAAATGGTGGAATCCCTGGTTAGCAGCAGTAATCAGGTATGCTTAACTATAGACTTACAATAACTCTCAAATGAGGGATGGAATAAGAAAAGTTATTTTACAAGAAAGTGTTCCTGTTAAAAAAATAGGGCCTGTAGTACTTCTAGCTGAATTTAGGAGTAACTGAAAGACCTTAATTATAACTCACAAGTTATAATAAGATTTTTAACAATTATAACAAGAAAGAAAACATAAAATGAATATCCAGTGGAAGGCTTAGCTGCCCCTCTGTCTCTGCCATATTCTTTTGACTGGTGCAAGATCATCATGTGTGGGGAGAGGAGTTTTGTCAGCTGGCTGGCTTAAGGTGAAAGCAGACACAGAGATTTACTCTGCTCTGGACAATACAAATTTTATTCTGAGTGATAATCCATGGGTACACTCTGTAAAGATACATGTAAAAAGCATTCAGTCTGAACAGATAATAGCATGCTCAGTATACCACTGGGCTTTGAGCCAGTTGTGGGTTAATCCTGAAAAGCAGCTAAGCACCACACAAATGCTCCTTCACTTCCCCCAATGCACCCCCAGTGAGAGGGAAAAGGAAAGGAAAAGCAAAAGCAAGAAAACTTGTGGGTCAAGATAAGTTGTTAAGTTAGTGAAGGAGAAACGGAGAAAGAAAAAGAAAGGGAAAATAAAGTGCTGCAGAGGCAATTTCTCACCATCTCCTATGGGTCAAACAATGTGTGACCAATTCCAGAGCAGAGGGTGGCTAACCCCTTCAATCCCTGCCTTTCCCTTTTTATTGCTGAACATGATGTTATCTGGCAAAGACTATCCCTTTGCTTATTTTGTAGCATACTTTCATGACATCTGCCTGGTTTTGTCCCCTCACAGCCTCTTTTGCACTGTTCATCCCCACTTCCAAGCCCCAGTCTACTCACTGTATGGACACAGTGAGAACAAGAGAAGGCCTTGATGCTGTGTAAGCACTGTTCAGCTGAAACATTATTGTGTTATCATCTTTGTTTTGATAACATATCTGATGACACCATATAAGCTGCTATGAAGAAAATTGAATGTCAACAGAGAAAATTAACCCAGTCAGAACCAGTACAAAGCAATTTCACTTCTTACTGACAATTTTGGGATGTGTGTGTGTGGGCCTTTCGCTGTCCCACAGCCCACCCCTAGATCCTGTATCCCAGCCTGCAGCGGCTGCTAATCCCTGGTGCACCAGAGCACTGATCCACACCCACCTCTGGAGCCCCTAACCCAGCTCCTAAGTGGCCAAATGACTAGAACTCCCGCCAAGGGGAAGGCCAATGTCTTCACTCTACCTCCTCTTGGAATTTCTATCTGAACACTGCTGGAACCCAGGAGTTGATAGCTATATGTGTGCTATTCTATATATTTTCTCTCTTTATCTTTCTTCTTCTAATTCCTTTTTCTTGGAATTTTTTGAGTAACTTAAAATCAAGTGGACTTAGAGTTTGCAAAGTTGGATGTGCCAATTTAATGCTTTGAGAAGTGTTTTATGTTGACTGAATATTTTGCCAAAGTTCTGTGATTTTCTAAAGTGCCAGAAAAGTCTGTTTTGTTGTTTTGATCTCTTGAGAATATCTGTTTTGTGTTTCTTCCATGTGTCTAACTTTGGGTATATGAACAACCATAAGCCCTTTTTATGTGTCTTGTTGAGTGAGTTGTTTGGGGCCTTACAGGCAGAACATTTTGTGGCCTGAATATTCTTCAGAGAACATGGTTTGCCTTAAATTCTAAATCTCATTTGACTCATTTTGCCTTCTTGGATTTGTACATAGAATCTCTGACTACCTTTATATTATCAGATGGCTACTGCAGGGGCTACTTTAAAGCCTTGAAATTTCTGCAAATTTTTTAGTAGTGTTTTGGCATATTTTTCACCTACAGTTTATTTGTTGCCTTGTCAAAAAGCATCTTAGAGAAAAATTTGCCTCAGCTTTGCAAAGCTGAAAAAGAAGGATCAGAATCTCCAGATTGTGGTTTTGAAAGTAGTGTGACACCTGTCAATGCATTTGCCTGTTGTTTTTGGAACTCAGGCCAAACTGCGGAAATCTCTGGTGCTGATAAACATCAGTCTTGTCAAAGATTGTCTTAGACCAGATCTGGGATCAGAGATTCCAGCTTCTTTTTCTCCAGTCTGAATATATTATGTTTTCCTGATCCTTCCTTTGTCACACTTGCATTTGACACGTGTACAATGTAGTTTAAAGAGTCACCAGATTTGATTATCTGATACTATGAGTGGGATTTTTTGTTGTCAATTTTGTATAGTAAGCCAGGAGAAATGATTGCAATATTAGAGTACATAAAATACACTGTATTGAGACTTAGTACTGAATATGTATTATTGATGATTAATCTGGAGTTAAGTGTAAGTTGGGAATCAACTCACCTCAGCTGTTGTTTCATTATACATTGTTTCAGGTACATCATATCCAAATTTGGCACCACTAACCTGCATAGAATCAGTCTTGTTTCCAGGCAGTAATAAAAACTGCTGTCATACTTAGAAATGTCTTTAACTTCAATGCTTATTCTTCTAATATAGGAAGTTCATATGTTTTCACGAGCTCTTCACAGAGAGCTGCTGCATATCCCTCATATTTTATAGAATGAATTGTAATGTTTCAAGAAGCCCCCTGCATTTGTTTAGTGTTTCTATCTTGGACTCAGTTTCTGTTTTGACTCCAGTATTGAGCTGGATATCTACATAATTCAAAGTATACTGATGATAGTTTTCACTGCCATGTCTCATCTATAAAGACTAAAGAGAATATATGATTCTTGTGGGGCTACATCTGCTCCTTTGGCTAGATGATCTCGTGATCAGATTTTCTGACACATACCATGCCTTGATGGAGCAGTCAAGTACATTTGCCTTTCATCTTTTGTAAAATAGCTATAACATTCCAGGCATTTTCCCTGAAGTAGTGCCTTCCTTTATGAGGTCTGAATCATCTGCATTCTGATCTGTACTGAAACAACCTGTTTTCTCCTATAGCAGTCAAATCACACATGGCAGCTGTGTAAACTTCCTGAGCCTGCTCCAATTTATACTCATTAGGTGGGAACAAAGGGAGGTGGATTTGAATAAAATTTCAAATTTGAAAAATACATGCACGCCTTGAAAATACATGAAAAGCACATTCACTTTAATATAACATACATACACTTGTCTACCAGGTACGGCAAAAAAATATGGCTACTGCTCCGTAGTCTCTTCTCTCGAGGCAAGGAGAGTGCACACGAGTGTGGACGTGTCACAGAACACAAGGTGGAGCTCCTGCTCTACTCCTGAACAAAAGAAAAACTCGAGAGGGGCAAGTGTCCTGTGGGGAATACAAATGAAACACAAATAGGGCTATATCTCCTACTACTTTTTATTCTTTGTACAATGTAAATGTTAAGCTTAGTGTCACTTTCTGAGATTTCTGAACATTTTTGCCCCTCTTTTTTCTACTTGTGACTGGATAGTTAACGTATTATTAATCCAGTTATATATATATTTTTAATAGCAAAATTTTTTTTAAAAAATTATATATATATATATATCTATATATATATCTATATATATATCTATATATATCACTACAGAAAATTATGTTCAACTTGGACATACTAAAATAATAAATTACCTGGAAATGTTAAAGTTACTATAATTATTTGGCAGTATAAGATTTGTGCCTTCAATGTACCCCTTATTTTCATTGCCATTTTCTGTTACCTTAACAATGAAAACTTCATGAGAAGAAAACATAAATGGGAGAGGAAGACTTGGGAGTGGGAAAGAGGAGTATGAAGCTCAAAAATTAGTACAGTATGATTTGCTGTTAAAATTTACAGAAAAAATCAACTTCTCTTTAATGCAGTTGAGGTTTTGTTTTTTTTTTTTTTGAAGACTGATGATAGTGGATAGAGCATGACATATTCATTGACAAAAGTTGATTAGATAATTTCTTGAAAAATGCTGTGTAAGATGTCTTGATAGTACATGATATTGCTGAAGCAAGCAGTATACTCCACTATATTTTAGACATTGAAAGGTGGTGCAAAGTTTCTGTGTTCCATAAAAAAAGAAGTTCACTGAAAGATACCAATGGGTTCTGAAACCATGGCATAGAAATAAGCTCCATCTCAATGTAATGTGATACATGAAATTTGAGGAGTGAATAACAAACAATAAAGTTACATCAATGGAAGGAGAACTGGAAAATAAGAATAGTAGCCAACTTTTTAATGTAGGGAAGATTTGCCTGCCTAAGGCAGGATTGCTTTTTGGTGTCAGCTAAATTTTCATTGTGTGGTGGTCTAAGGAATGCTGTCCTTTCTAATCACATAGAGAACAAATTGTCTAATATTTAAATAAGGCAGTTAAATCAATTATGTGATTAAGCTTCCCTTTTAAGAATTTTTAAAAAATAACATCTATAATAAACAATGTTTTTAGTATTTTAAAATACTTGCCCAGATGTTGGATATAATTGTCAGTACCATTAAGATTGGTTTATCTGTTAGCTATTGGAAAACAAGCAAAAGGAGAAAGGGGATAAGTTTATTATTATATCTTTTGAGATATGTGAAGAGGTTATCTAAAAATACTTTAATTCATTGAGGAGGTTGTGTGCAGCCTTGCACACATATTGCAGAATATACAATAAGTTCTAAGGAGATGAGGGTTAAAATTTAAGATGGTTGAAGCAAGAAAATCTATGTCTCTGATTTGATTTTGGACTGTGGAATGCAGTCATATTATATGACTGCATATTATATGACTTATAACATCCAAGACCCAACAGAAAAATACCTGTCAGATAAATAGCAATTTGATTACTAGGCATTTGGGTCCATATACACCATGTTAATAAGTTTTTGTTTTGGATTCATATACCATATCAATCTTTGTCAGCAGATACTGATTTTAGTATCTGCCAAAGTGATATTTATACGCAAACTGAAGTATTTTGATGTAGTGGCTTGTCTTATCATGAATGATAACTTTATTTCCTGCAGATTGAATTAACTAAAAGAGGACTTCAAGCAACTCTCTTGGTAAAAGCTCCAGAAACAGGAGAATTATTTGTGAATTTTGACCCTCTAATATTAACTTTAATCAGAGAGACAGATTGCATGGCTCACATGTGCCTTGAAATTCCACCATTTGCAAGTGTTATTCAGCAGCAGAGAGTCTGGTACAAGAAGATTGTCAACAATTTGCATGTGGGTTTACTTCAGTTATTTTATGTATGTGTACTGTACACTAAGATGCCTGGGTTCTAGACATATGGAAGAGGATAAATGAAGATCAATGATTATGCACTAAGAAAACATTTGCAAATCTATTTTCTTATCTGTATGACTGTCTTGAGGCAGTTAAAATTTTTTCTTGGTTTTATGTTTTCTGTGAAGTTACTTTGCAGATGCATGGGTTTGGGGAAGCTCTGCAGAGTCTGGGACAGAGATGAGAATGGGGAGGAAAGGAGGAATACAAAATGCTTTGTGCCGTTGCTTACTTCCTAAATGATAAGCAATTTATCTCTCATCCAATAATGAAGTCAACATTGGGCAGTATCTGTTTTGAGAGGATACCTGGGAGGCAGGAACAGGTGGTCTGCTTTTAAAAAGTGTAAAGCATGCAGCAAGTAGCAGCTTTTTTTTCTGGCACTGGTGTTTTACACAGACGTCTGTGGAACAATTTAGAAAGAGAAGCTGAAACTTCTCTTTCTCATGTCTTTTAAGTCACTTAGAAAAAAAAAAAACAACAAACAAACATAAGTCATAAAGTCTTTATGACATTAAGTCATAATGTTATTGCCAAACATGTGAAACTAGATCAGCAGGTTAAAGAGGCATTAGAAAGAAAATAGTATAATAAAGGTAAGGCTAATCTTATTAGAATTGCTGGAAAGTTCATTTAGATGTATTTTTCTCCTTGGGCTTTTTGTCTTCTGTAACACTGATTTACAGACTGAAGTTTACAAGATTTTTCTGTTATGTGGTTTAAGCCCAGTAGGCAACCAAGCACCACACAGTTGCTCCCTCACTCCCCTCCTTGGAATGGGGAGAGAATCTGAAGGTTAAAATATAAAACACATGAGGTGAGATAAAAACAATTTAATAGGGAAGGCAAAAACCGCATGCACAAGGAAAAAATAAGGAATTATTCTGGTAAAACTAGGCAGTATCACAGCCACTTGGAAAGTAACACACCATAGCTCTGAGTGTCCCCCTCCCTCCTGCTTCTCCCAGCTTTCATTTTTAAGCATGATGTCATAGGTATGACATCCCATTAATCAGTTGTGGTCCTGGCTACATTACTTCCCATCATCTTGTGTGTCCCCACTCACCAGCAGAGTACTGTGATAAGCAGAAAAGGACTCAATGCTGTATGACCACTGTTTAGCAATACCCAAAATATCAATGTGTTAGTAATACAGCTTTGCTCACAGATTTAAAACATGGCATCATGTGAGCCATTGAGAAAGAAATTAACTCTATCACGACACCAGTCCAATCAAAGATTGATTTCTATGTGAAGTAGTACTTCACACAGAGCAACAAATATATATGTAGAGATATAAGAACAACAAATAGTGAACTTCTGCCAAAAATAATGCAAAACATTCTCAAGCATTTAATTATAACATCTTAAGAATTTCAGTATTGTACATACAGATGATTTTTCTTAGTTTAAATACATAAATATGTGTACACGAAGAGGTTCAAATCAGTGTATATTAACTAACGTTTTAATTCTCTATTTATTTCAGGTGATGTTGGCAGAATACAAAAGAATTAAACTGAAAATACAACACCCTTTTGAACAACTAATGGCTCCTCGATTAGTAAATGTAGAGGATGCTATCCTGCCAGGTCTAACATTACTGAACTGGGCATCCTCAAATATTGAGAAATATATTAATACAGTCTTTTCTAAGCTAGGTTGGTTATTTGCCTCTTTCCATTAACTTCTGGTTATTTGTTCTATAAAAATGCAAGTTATATTATGAGATTACAGTTCTTTACAAAATTTGCACTTAATTGATTTTGTATATAAAAGACATCAGAATTTTCACCAGTCCTGTATTTCATGAAACATTTGTTTTATAACACTACCTTCTTTTTGTCTTGTATGTTCATCAAATTTTTGCTAATGTTAGGCAGTTGGGATTACACCAAGCATAAAGTATGATGCAAAAGGCCCTGTGTATTTTGAATTTAAAGAATGATAGCTATGTTTTAAAAGAGCTCCTAGGTTTCAGACTTTCCCTAGTCCTGTTTTTTTTGTTTCTATAATGTATAAAACAACTTTTCAGGGAATAAAACACTGGCTCAGTTGGCACTGTCATTGCTCAATAACATTTCATATTATTTTTTTTTTAACATCAATCTCTTTAAAACTAATGCACATTCATCTTGGACAACAGCTTTACAAAACAGATGAGCTTGTAGTGTTTTCAGAAGATTATCACAAGGTTGCACTGAGATGTGTTTTTTTTCTGAAGATACCAAATTCCTTTTTCTTCAGCTGAATTAATACATCAAACAGATTTTGTTTCTTGAAATTGCATAAGTAGCTATAGTGGAAATTTTCTTCAGTTGAAAGGCCAGATTAAAGTGCATTTTGGATGCTAGCCTGACATTATGCTCAATTTAATTTTGAATAATACAATAATTTGAGTCTGGATCAGGCACCTTCCTGCTATTTGACCTTCAGCATTGAGAGTAGGTTGCTATTAAATTTTTAAACTTCTAGTGATTGTTTTCTGTTAACTATTGTTTGGCCTCTAACATTTGTTTGAAGCACAGAGATTTTGTTTGCTGCAAGTTTTTGCTGCTAATAGGTTCTCCAAGTTGTAATTAGTTCAAGCTATAGGAGAAGATGGAATATTGCTGGCCATCATTTAAATGTTAATGTCTTCATGTTTGAAATATGTATCCTTTAAGTTAATTTTATATATATTTATAATATATGTATTAAATATATATTTTAATATAGTTAATATATATTTACTTATTAATTAATTTACATTTACTTATGTTTTATTTATATATTTATATTTTATACAATGTATTATATATAATATTTTATATAAAATCTGTGTGATATATATTTGTACAATAGCTTATATTTATATAATATTATAGTTATCTTTTAGCATGTAGATAGCATATTCTAGGTAAGTATCTGTTGTGCAAAAAAGTTAAGTATGTTTCTGTGGTGAAGCTTGCCATAAAATTTAGATGTTTGAAGTAAATTGGTTAAGGAGCAGAATTCATATACAATTGAATATGATAGTTTATTGAGGTAAAAATTTAAACAGGACTCTGCAAAGGCTATTGATTCAAACTTTTATGCTTGCCTTGAATCTTCTGTTTTCTTTGAAAGCTGGGCTGGAGTTATTGCTTGATCGAGTGAATGATTTGGTTGAATTTCGTATTGATGCTGTCCTTCAAGACATGAATAGAGTGCCACTCTGTATGTTGCCAGAAGGTGAACCACAGAGCTGTGAGGAATTTCTTCAAAAGACTAATGTTAGTAGATAAGTTTCATGAAAAAGAGATTGATGACTTTGAGTTTAGGTATTTTTCTTTTTTATGAGATAAAAAGTTCTGAATGCAGAATTAATGAAGCATGCATGGGATATGCGTGGAAATGCCCTCTTGCTTGGCTGGGACCTCACATAGGAAAATAAGTATCAAATGCAAAGAGATCTGAGTTGAGATGTTCTTTTCTATTAATTATTAATGTCAAACCAGATAGTGTATGATAATTCTTTTATGCTTTCATATCACTCGAAAATTTTGCTTCTATGATAGTATCTTTTTTTGGTCATTATTCCTGTTCAAATAAGGGAATTCTCCAGCAGGTGCCTGAGGAGGGTAGATACTATGGAAAGGATTGTGTAATAAATATCTCAAACTCTCCTGAGTTGGTAATGGGATGTGGAAAATATATGCAGAATTACCTGGGTGAAGGTGTTCTGGGAAAACACCCTTCATCCCATCAAAATACTTTTATGTTGAGAGTAATTAACTGCAAACATGTAAATTGTTGGTTAGAAAGCTCATTAAGGTCATAATTAAATTGAATGTCAGAATAATTTTGTGAGGCAATAATAAGGTATTGCATTTTATGTTATAATGTCTAATGTGTTTTCTCCTGGAATAAACTTTTGTTTGATAGAGACTGTAGAAAATCAAGTAGATAATCCCCATTCCTTTTCTCTTGTAGCAATAAATATTACAAATGAAAGTTTTAATTATCTTAGTGTATTTAACTCTTTGGCCTTTTCTCTTTTGGCCATTGCAACAACTCACCCTGTTGTTAAATACAGAATAAAATTTAAAATAATATTATACGGAATGAATAGTAGCTTGCAAGCCTGACAATCCATACTTGTTTTTATTGATCCTGCTGCTACCTTCCTGATTGGACAGGTACTAAAATGTGTATTCCCTAAGGTAAAAATATGTGAAAGTGAGCAAAAACTTTCTATTCATGGCATGGTAACCTGAAAACTTGAACAGCTACATGGAAATTACACACATAGCAGTTACAACGGCCAATTGAGTTGAGTTAGCAGAGTCAGTGATATAAAAACCCCAGTTATGGGTACAATGAAAATAGTAACAGTTTGTAAGCTAATTGTAATTTTTCATTAGAAGGAACTAGACTTCTGTCACCTAACAGGTGTCTTAAAGTTTCTAAAGAAATTGCTACAACAAAAATAATTACCCAGTGAAAAAATTCCAGAGTACTTTGTTTAGTGTTGCTGTGATACTACAAATCACATCTGCCTTCTCTCTTAAAAGAACTATTAGGAAGGCCAAAGATTTTCTTAAAATTTAGAAATGGCTGAATATTTCAAATTATTGATTTTTAATTAAACAAAGGTAGACATGTTTGTTTAAGCAGAATGAAATATAAAATAACAAAGAAGTAAAAAATTAAAAGGCCATTTTAGATAAAGATTATAGTAAGCTGAAGAATACTTGATTGATCATGATGTAAATATTGGAAAATAAAAGATGCATAATACTGTAATAAGGTTCTGAATTTTATTTAATCTCATTCTTTGATTTCTTCTCTCTCCAGCTGATAATTTTCATGTTTATTTTAATAATAAATACAGTTTGTATAAATTTTATCTTCTGTTTAGCTGTAAATGGGAAATATGATTGGCTAATACTCATTATGGCACAGCCAATTAATGTAAATTGGCAGTGATTAAAAGAAGTGTTGAATTTCCCATGTCTACATTGAAAAGTTAAAAAAATTAAGAAACCCTTGCTTTTGGGAGCCTTTTAATGAAACTAGGCATTATAAACATTGATTCATGATATTAACTAATGAATCATATGATTTGAGAAAGAAGCTAAAACAATTGTTGAAAGATATTTATGATGCCTTGGTGATACCTAATATTTTGGAAAAAAATTAAAATTAATGTTGTATATAGATCTGGTTTTCCACAAATCTTAGGCCTTGACATTTGTGTTAATAAAGGCTGCTATGACTGTGAAATTGACATGAGAACTGTGACAATAAGAGCATATTGTTTTGGTTTGATAACAGGAACTCTGTATAAAAGGTTCTCAGACTTTACACTTAAAAAGCTCACTGGTGGAAGCCTCTGCTAATGATCTGATTAACATGTTACTTGACACTGAGGAACAGGTCAGTAAAGATGAGAAGTCAATTGAACCCAGTGGTGAAAAAAGGGACAATAGCACAGGTAAGAAGATTGCATTGCATTGCATTGCATTGCATTGCTTGGTGTTTGTTTCTTTTTCATGATGATAATTTGCTTTGGGGGACATTATATCTTAGGTGACTGAAATACTGAATGGTATGTAATGTCTAAAGACTTTTCCTTGAATTTGCCTGGATAATGAATAATCTAACAATCATTTATGATCTACAAAATAAGTTGATATTATTTATCTAATTTGGATGTTGAAAGAAATAATATCTGAATTTTGACGATAATCATGCCAGTTTGTACTGAATAAGAAGGCAGATAGGAATAAAAGACCTGTTACATTGAGGTGCAGATTACAGATGAGTAGTTCTACACTTCCTGAAAATTATTTCAGAAACCAGTGGAGGTGTTGCTTTATGGTACTTTCAAGTCCCTTAAGTAAACTTAACTAATGGATTTATGATGTTTTAGCTACAGGAGAGGAAAGAAGATCAAAAAGCTTGAGTTCCTCACAAAATTCCAGTGAGATGTGGGCTGGCTTGTCTCCTACAGCAAAGAGGAAGAGAATAGATTTAGAAAAATTAGAGGAAGATGCCAATGAACTGCTTTCTTACTTCAATAATCGTAACATTGATGCCCTTTTGAAAGTCATACGAAACACTCTGGAGACCATCCGGAAGCGCATTCATGCATCATCTACCATCAATTTCTTAGGTGGCTGCATTGTAGTACATTGCTCTTTTAAGCTACATAAAGAAAAATGTAAATGTAATATCCCATAACTATATAAATAAGAGTCACAAGTGTAAAAGAGGGGGAAACAAAGGGATTTTGATTAAGCTGTCTTGTTAAGTTACATTGTGTGTTTCCAAACGTATTTTATTCTTGTGACAATAGGAAAGTGTCATTACAATGCTGTTTCTCTTAGGACTCACTGTACTGTTCTGAAGCCAATATTACATTTGGAGCTAGACTTGATAGATAAGTTTCTGATAAGACCTTGATAACTTGATAAGTTATCACTTAAGTTAAAAGTTATCAATTATGAACTTGAGAAGTTAAGAACTTGACAACTTGACAAGATCTTTTTGACCTTGCCTTTACAAAAAACTCTATGAAAAAAAATAGAGGCGTCTTTTTTCTCTTACTAATTGCCTTCAGATATTTCCATACGTGGTGATGGAACACTGTTTTGAAGTGTTTTATTGCCACATGCATTCAGAAACAAAAATAAGGGCAGTTGTCTTTGGTCTCTATAGTTTATAAGGCATACAATGCTATAACTCTAAGGAGATTCTGTGTCCAGTTTAATATGCTGGCTGACAGCCAGATATCAAAATTGTCTGCTAAACAGAGTTTAGCTGCACAGAACCAGTTGAAAAGGAGCTTCATGGAGAAAAGTAGGTTTGCACTCACTTTTTACTTGTGCTGCTGTAAAGTTTAGCAGTACATCTTATAAATTATTCAGGAATACTTTTTCCCTTCATAAATTACACTCAGTACTCTACATTAGGAGATATATTTGTTGATTTATATTAAAACAATGCCTAGTTTAATATCTTGAAAAAATATGAACACAGCCTTTTATTTTGGTTTTTTCTTCTGTTTTTTTCTTTTATTTAGAAAATCACAGTATGTCTAAGCAGAAAAAAGCTGCTCATCCTATAATTAGGACCAATATTAACCTATCTATCCCTAATATCATCATGACACCCTCTTTGGATGAGGTACAGCAGACACTTAATAAAGCTGTAGATAGTATTGTGAAAGTAATGAAAGGAGTTCGACAGTGGAGTAAGGAGAGAATATCCAAGGTTGGTGTCTTTAACAGCCTTACTTAGAACAAATGGTGCAAAACAGCTGCAAATAAAAACATAAATGTTATTCTCTCTTCAGAAGAAAGTGTTAGAGACAAAAGTTGTTCTCTTGCGGTGTGGGAGCAGAGACAGCGATTCTGATGATGGGATGAAAGAGACTGGAAAGGAAAACATCCATGGTAATGATAAACTGACATCACTAATTTTCAGTATTAGGAAAATGTGATTTATACAGAATATGTTGGAAGATATTAATTACAGAATGCATCAAAAACAGTTTACTTAATAGATTTTAAACAACCTCATAGATTTTAAATTACCTCAGAGAAGTAATCTCTTTCTCATTAGAAATAAGGTTTGCCACTTGTCCTTCTGTGGATTTGGGTTAGGGGATTTTTTTTGTGCTTCTTAAAGAGTTTTACTGCTTTGGGTTATAGGATGTATATTGTTTACAATTATCGTCACTTTTGCTACAGAATAATCTTCCATGATTTGCCTGTGTGGTTTGTAATTTGGCATGTTCAAATGGCATCTTAGAACTTGTCCTTACCTTTCACAATACTTAGTATTGAGTAAAAATGTCTATATAAATTGCAATATTGATGTATAGAGGATTGTGTAAAAGATTGAATAGAGTAGAACTTCTAAAAGGATTTTCATTATTCTGTTTCCTGACCTGACATTAAGTTATTGAAGTCATTAGTTCAAGGAAATTTAGAATGGCATCTTTGCGTTTTTCTTCTCTGAAATGGTTTAAAATCAAGCCAAGTTAATTGTTCTACATTGCACCCAAGATAATAAAAAAAATACATTTAAGTCTTTTTAGGTTAGCTCTCTCTTATGCACTTAAAAAGTAGGACAGTAATATTTGAACTGGTTAAGAATTAATTTAACTGATTAAATTAGTCTTTTAAAACTAAGAATTTTGCTTGCAAGAGATGAAATTAAAAATTATGATAAAGTCAAACTTGTGGATATTTGCTAACTGATGGACTTTTTTAAATCTTTATTCCTTTTTTGGGGATTGGTTATGGTCATCTTCTCACAGTTAATTTGTATTTCAAATTGTCAATTGTGAGGTATTTCAGAAAATAAAAATGCTTTGTGTTGATATATAGGTAAGCAAATGCTGATTTATAAATAAATCACTTAGGTGAAGCATACAAAATAAACCTTGTGGAGAGAGCAGAGAAGAGGAAAGATTCTCTTTGAATGATTGGAGTGGAACTTGTTCCAAATTTGACAGGGTGCCTAGATGGAGCAATTTTACTAAAATGGGATGTTTATGAATTTATTTTGGCCTCTTTGACTTCTAGTTGCCTTTAAGAACACCTAACTTTAAAATTCATGCTTACTGAAAAAATATGGTTTTGTCTGTAGGAATTTACTTCTCCTAACCAGTATGTCTGTTCTAAGCCTGCTTTTTATACTTGCATCTTCTTTTATAGATAATGTATCAGATGCAGCATCACTCAGTTCATCTGACCCAGTGCAAAGCCACAACTACTTCAAGAATGTTTCAGAGAACAAAGAAATTATTAAATTAGTATCTTTACTCAGCAGTGCCATCAATTCTACAAAAAGGGTAAGACAATTGAGATGTTAATTTAATATCACTATCTGAGGGATTTTAATATATTACTTTTAATATCCTTGGGTAATAAGGGTAGACATTTAAGGCTGTAATTAAATGTAATAATGAAAAAGTTTAGGATAGTGGATGGAAAACATGTGTCTGAAAATCTGCAAATATTCTTTAAAAGTGTAACATGGATTAAGTGTACTCTGGTCCAAGATTTGGGATTTTGAATATTGCATAAATTAAAGCATAATAAAAAACTCTTAAGTGTAGTTGTGTTGTGTGTAGCAAATGAAGCCAGCATGACTTCTGCCACATTATGAAGAGGTTATGAAGATTTTTAGAAGAAAATTGGATGTCAGATTAGCATTTGTTAAGTGCTGCATAGGATTTGCTAGTGTAAGTTAGGATTTATCTTAAAGGATATGCATAGCTTCTTTGCCTTGTTCTTAGTCTATGCACTCTTTAGTAAACTGTATTTCTTTAGGGAGCTCTGCATCAGTTTCTTCTGGGCCTGGTCCACTCTTTTAAGAGTCTTGCCATGTGAAACTCTTTGACTCGAGGTCTTGTAACTTCAGTGGTACTAAAGCATAACTACTAGGCTGGTTCTGAATAGTTGATAATGGTGGATAATTATCATGGTAGTTTGTAATACTGTAAATTTTTATCATTTAGCCAGCTTTAAATGCCTGCATGTACTATATTTATCATAAGCCATGATGTGGATTATCTCTTGTAGTACTCATCTCTCATTTACGTGTTTAATTAGAGGCAGTGATGATTTAATTTTAACTTTCTCATTTTTCTGAACTCCTGAGAACCAAAAAAAAATTCTCTTGCACACTCATTAAATGATATTCAAATCAGAGACCTGAACTGAGTGTAGAAATTCATGTTAAAAAAAATTGTCTCATAGCTTCATTATTTCAGAATCAATTTTTCTTGTTATGTTGGGCCCTGGAGTTCAGGTTTCAGTTTCTAGCGCAAGAAATGGCAGGGAAGGACAAGTGTACTGTATCCTACCTTTAAACTTTACTTCCCACTGATTCCAATGATTTTGTTGACTGAAGATTCACTTAATTGGAAAATGTTTAAGCTAATCTGACAAACTGAATGCGATTAACATAGAGTTTCAGGCACGATGTGTGATCAGTAATGGAACTTACTCTAGCATAAATTTACCAGCAGCCTTTTTTTCTGTGAGGTGATTCAACCTGCTGCACTATGGCATTTGTAAGGTACTGTAATGAGCAGCTGCCAAGAAATTATATGTATGCTCTATACATGACGCTGAGAATCTTTCTTTGAACTTGTGAATGTCTTTCAGGAAGTTCTTACAGCTTTGGAGAGTTTTAGTTGTTACCACCATATATGGCAGAGGGACAAGGAGGAAACCATTGATAAATTAATGGTGGGAAGCCCATCACTCTCTGAATTTGAATCTGAAATTCTGCATTTCCAAGACCTGGACCTGAAAATAAATTCTGAGCCTGAATACATCTGCGTGGGAGCTATTGCGCTGTACACTGGTAGAGTTCAGCTTCTCTCCAAAGACATGTACTTTCTAACTCCAGTAGGAAGGAGAGGTGTGACAGTTTTCGACTTGTGAGCTAGATTAAAATGGAAAGGAGAAAGGGAGAGAGGAGGGCTGATTGCTGTTGCGGCTAAAAATGCATGCAAGCAAAACAGTAACACAAGAATATCTGTGAGGCTCAGCTGGAGTTTATTACCTCACCTGGATACTTCTGCTTACTTATGGGGTGGATGGTAAATGTTTGCTCCTCCTTCTGTCACTGATTCCCATGAGTACATATTTCATTGGAGTAAGATAGTAAGTTTATGTTACTTTTCTCCTTGCCTGGCTGCATGCAGAGATAGCTGAACCCCCTTCTAACAATTCCACCAATGCTATGACCAAATTTTGTTTCTTCAGCTTTCATAATTAGACTCCTAATTTCCTCCCCACATTATTTTTTAAAGATTAATTTTTGAAAATATTTTAGACTTAGATGAGAATATTAAATAATTCATTAGTGATGTATGCAATAGAAGTTGATATAATGGTAAATGAACCAGATGACAAGTATGGAGTCTAGCCTCAACTTTCCAGTAGATACATCCTAAAAATATCTATGATATCTAATATCTATTAATTGTTAATGTTATTAGATGATCTTTCCAGTAGAAAATATGATAAATTCTGAGAAGAATAGGAGGAAAGCAATTGTGAATTGCAAGCAATTTTATAAACCACTTCAAGGTGCCCATGTGATTTTATCACCTCTGTATGTGAAGGGTTAGACCAAAAAACCAGAACTGGGACCGAAGAGAACACATGTAATGAAAAAGATTAATAGTGCGTCTTAAAAGATATCTACAATATCTAATATCTATTAATTGTTCAATATTTTTAGCTGATCTGAAGCTAGCACTGAGATCAGAAACCAAAGCCTGGATGACTTTGCTGGGGTGTCATTGCAATAAGAAGTACAGAACACAGATGGAAGCAATTTTGACTTTTATAGAGGAAACTGGCAAGAAGTTAAATCACAGCATCATGGACCTGGATGATATCAGAATAGCCATGTCAGCTTTAAAAGAGATCAGAGAACTACAGATTTCTATTGACTTTCAAATTGGCCCCATTGAGGTAGCTAGTGGGACTATTACATGTATGGGTACTGTTTAAGAGAGCAGTTATTTTCTGGGTTAAAGCTTAACAATGAACTTTGAAAATGTATGATTTAATATGTGTTGAATGTTGAGTGACAGGCCTGTTGTGTTCCTGTAAACCTTTTTGTGTGAAATTCTGATCTGGGCAAATGTAAACTTGCTGAGGTGAGAGGTGGCTTAGTGAACAGTGCAGAAATTGAATGATGTAGGTAAGAGGAAGATGAAAGTATAGGTATTGAATGCAAGAAATCTTTTCATACTTTGTGGAAGAAGTCTGTGTATGAAAAGAAATGAGATTCCTATTTTTGTTTTTTTTAGCTAAACCTAAAGAGAAGTAAAAAGCTAATGTTAAGCAGACTATACAGGATTGATTGCTTTCATCAGCTATATAGGTTAAAATAAATAAAAGCAACTAACTTCCTTAAAGAAGTTAATGTAATAGAATGCAGTTACTGAACATCTGACAAATGGCAGACTTAAAAACAGATGGTAACTGTTTCTCTGCATTCCTGACCAGAGTATTTATTTAAGAATGCTATAATGTGGCAAACTGCACCACTGATTTCTCAGTAGAATTCTTTTTTCTAAAACATATTCATGATTCCTCATTGCCCATAATTTCATTAAAAGCTTCCAATTCTGCAAGCAGGAGCCTTGAGTCCCCAGGCACAAGAAGCAACGCTTCAGGTTTTTGAAAGGGAGGTTGGCATATTTTCCACATAGTGTTGTAGTAGACAAAGCGTTTCCATTTTTGCAATTTGGCTACAATTTGATCAAACTGGAAAGCATGAATGGAAATAATCCCACTTCATACAAAATTTTCAAATGGCAATGTTATGCCACAGGTTCATTGCTACCCTACCCTGAGCTAATTTATAGAAAGTGAATTTAAGTTGTATTGTAATGAAAATTCACTAAGGGTTTTCAGTATGTGGACTATTCATATGTTGGTGGTGCAAGTGGAAATCAATGGTCTGTGAAAAAAAAAATTCAGATGTTTCTTCCAGTTTGGTATCGGTTTGTTAAATTTTGATAATGGCTACGCAAAGAGAACAGAATTTCTTATTCTAACAAACCATTCTCTGTTCTTAAAAGTTTAAAATGTTACCATAAATACATGTTTGCAAAGTTAACTGAAGTTACCATTTTCTGTATCTTGATCCAAATTTCTGGCAGGAATCCTATGCTATGTTGAACAAGTATGATCTACTTGTTGCCAAGGAAGAGACAGAGAAGGTGGACACATTGCACTACACTTGGGAAAAACTGCTAATCCGTGCAAATGAAGTGCAGAATGAGCTTGTTGCTTTGCAGCCAAACTTCAGAGGAGAGCTTATTAGTGCTGTGAAGACTTTTACTGAAGACTGTGCGCAGTTCTATTCAGATTATGATCAGGCAAATGTTTCTATTTTATTGCTTTAGAGACATTTTTAAGGAGCAATGGGAGCATGGAATTAATCAATGGGATGGGCCTCTGCTGCTGAATAGGTTTATTCTTGCTAAGATGGTGTTTGAGTTTCAGTTCAGGACAGGTTTGGTTAATGTTTTGTATGTGAATGACATAAGTAATGCAGGTAATCATATTAAAAATTAAGAATTGAGATATTTAAGGTTTTTGAAAACTATCTAGTTACCATGAGCAAATGTGAAGACTAGGATTAATGATAAACTATGTTAGAAAGAAGAGTTTTCTGATGCTGGGTACATGTACAAGTGACTTACACTCTCACATTCTTTTTCATTAGAACATAAATGAATGAAGCTGAATTAATTTTTATCATCTTTTAAGTAATGCTGACTTTTACTCAAAAAGTGAGCTATGATTTCCTATCTTTTACAGTGTAATGAAAAATTTCTGCATTAGAAATTCAATTAGTTGCCTTCTTTGATTTTTTTTTAAATCCTTTTAAAAAAAGTGTTCTAGTAGGTTAACTGTCATCTCTTGGTTCAGCTGTTATCTGATCTGGGGAGGGGATATCTAGGCTGCAAAATTGTTTGTGGTTAGCCCTTAGAAAATACTGATTAGAAAGAAGTTGTGGTTATTCTCACTGTCTAAATTAATGTTTTGTTTTCTGGTTTGTTTTTGTGGTTTTTTTTGTTTTTTTTTGTTTTTTTTTTTTCCTTTTAGAATGGGCCAATGGTGGTTGGTTTAACACCTCAGGAAGCCAGTGACAGGCTTACTATATTCCAGGTACTGTTAATGCTAAGACATAACTTAATACTTACGACAAGTGAGCTAACACCTAAAGGCTCTGAGAAGGAATCTCAGTTGCTGAATGAACTTTCATTGGTAGATAGCGTTACTGATTTGGCAAAGTCTGTTTTGTCTTAGTGAAAACTGAGCTGGAATTTTTCTATGCATTTGCAAGGAATACTGTTTAAATTTTTTAGGAGTTAACAGAAAGGCTGCATAGATAATGAGTAATGATTACTAGATACAATATCCTGATGAGAACCTTCCCACATGTTTAGAGTATTTGGCTATAAGCCGTTCTGTTCATTATTGTCTTTATTTTTTTGGTTGAAGTCTATCTTTATATCATTATTAGTATCTATTCCTGCAATAACAACTTTTAATGCTTTTCTTTTTCCCATAATGTTATTCGTTTGACTTCCTGCTATGTTCTCTGAGTTATATTACAATTGACAATTAAATTACGTTTTTCTTTGCTGCTTTAATGGTAATAATTCTTCCTTCAACAGTCAATAAAAGATTTGCACAGCATATTTGGAGAGGTAGAATTTACTATATCCACCTTTTTTTGCTTTGTGTGTCATGCTTCACCTCTTTCAAGTGCAATTTTAGTATTTATTTTTCTGTCACTGAGCCACATGAAATAAATGGCTTCCCTGTCAGTTTGTAAAGATGTACCTCCAAGCTAGCTAAAAGTTACCTTTCTCAAGAAAATTGTTGAGAAAACTGTTAACAGTGTAAGCTGTTACTATTTCTCTATATCGTTCTATTATTTCCTAGATTTTAGTCTAATTCAGCTCTAATCATCATTTTGGATCTTTAATATTTAGTTATTTTTATTAACTTTTTAATTGTTATTTTTTAGTTATTTTTTTTTCTTTTTCTTTCTTAGAATCGATATGATAATCTCTTTCGGAAATATATTACTTGTACAGATGGAGAAGATCTTTTCGGTTTGCCAGTTACTTGGTGTCCTCAACTTCTTGAAATAAATAAGCAACTGAATCTGTTGCAGAAACTCTATAATCTATATAACAGTGTCATTGGCACAATCAATGGTTACTATGATATTCTTTGGTCAGAATTAGACATTGAAAAAATTAACGGTGAACTTATGGAATTTCAGAACAGGTGAGAAACTGCTGCTGTGTTAAAGTTGTCTAAAGTACTTCTTGAACATGGTTATAATTGGTCAGTACCAGTAATCATATATGAGCATGTATTTGTTTATTCAGGCTTGAAAAATGTGAATTTAAATTGAAAAATATATCCATTACCAGCATCATAAAAGAATTAGATTCTAAATGTTGAGGATTATTGTTCCTTGGGCAGATTCTTGGCTATCTTTTTTTAATAAGTTTTTGGAATATATCTTAAAATTGTTATTTATTTTCTTCATGAAGGAAAGTTTCACCTTTTTGTTGTAATTTTGTTGTTCATGAGAGACAGATTTATGCTAGATGTCAAAGGCAAGTTAGTGAATTGCTGAATAGTTTTTCTACAAAATGGGTTATATTGCATACATAGAAGCTGAACTTTTCATCAAACCAGGAACCCAAAAATTTAAAGAATTAAACCCTGAAGAACAGGGTTTTTCTAGAGCTCAGAACATACCATCAGTCTCACTGAAAGATGAAATCAAGATGTAGATACAACATTTCAACTGGTTTTGAAGATCGCTTGCACAGAGTTATTAAAACTATGCAGCTACACTCCTTAAGGGGAGGCTGTAGGTGCCTACCCAGCTATCAGTCATTGAAATAGACCAGAAACAGATTTTCTCACATGGGGAAGCACATATAGAACCTTCAAATTACAGGTAACTTGAATTTGGAAGGTATGTGTTCTGCCTTTAAAAAAATATACTGTGGTTTTTAAAGGAAGAATAATAGAAACCTTTTGAAAAAGCTTGCTTTATCTCAATGTAGGTGCCATAAGCTCCCTCGTGCTGTAAAGGAATGGCAGCCTTTTCTTGACCTAAAGAAGACCATAGAGGACTTCAGTGAATGTTGCCCATTGCTTGAGCACATGTCAAGCAAAGCAATGATGCCTCGGCACTGGAAGCAGATTATGGGTCTTACTGAACACAGATTTGACATGGAGAGTGAAACATTCAAACTGAGGAATTTAATGGAAGTTCCACTATTAAGATATAAAGAGGAAATAGAGGTATTTTGAAGGAAGAAATATGGATACATGAAACCAGCAATCTGCTTGTATAGTGTAGGAGTAACAGTAGCAAGAAGGAAATCCAAAACATTTCTGTAGAAAGAACAGGTTTTTGTATAAAACAATGACACAAATATATTGTGGTGTCAACTTCTATTTTTTGAAATCATGCCATTTGGCCCAGGAGCTAATCTGTGAGGCTACCTTGCTTTGTGACATTAAACATATGAAAAGTAATCACTATGTTTTTATTTTATTTCCCCCAGAGTTGATTAAATTGTGATGTGGTATACAGATTACTAGCTCTGTTGTTTGTATATCTGTAGACCTTTCCACTAAATAATTGCTCATGAGCCTAATGTTACCTAGTGTTAAAGGAAATAAGAGCTAGATTCCTATACCAAGGACTTGAAGCGTTAATTATTTTGACATCCTGTTTATTTAAAAGGATATCTGCATAAGTGCTGTGAAGGAGAGAGACATTGAGCAGAAGTTAAAACAAGTGATAGCTGAATGGGATAACAAGATGTTTATCTTTGCAAATTTTAAAACTCGTGGGGAACTTCTTTTAAGAGGTGACAGCACATCAGAAACAATTGCTACCTTGGAGGACAGCCTGATGATTCTTGGTTCTCTCATGAGTAACAGGTAACAGGAAAGGGAGGGAGGGAATGGGAGGAGAGATAAAAATATTAACAAAAGACTTTGTTTTAGCAAACCAATCTATCACAGAAAAGAAAATAAATAATCATCTAGATAAAAACTAAGAGCTTGCTGGTCCTTGAACTTTTAATGGGCTAGTTCTTATTGTATCTAGTGTATCTCCCCAATAAGTTCTTTTGAAAACATGCAGATGCAGCACAGATTGCCTGAATAAACAACTGGAAAGTTTTCACTGATGCAAGAAAGTGGGGACATAAGAGAGAACAGTGCCTCCTATGGCAGTCATATTACGGGCATTACAGGCACTGCTTACTCTGCCCCTGTGATAGGTCATTACCTCATGCCAAAGGTACTGAAAATCCTAGTTAAACTGAGCTTCAGTTTGTCTGGTTTCACATGCTAAAAGACACAAATAAAATAATCCAATTATCAGGCAGATGCTCAAAAGCAGGAGTTTAGGAGAGTTCAGGAACTCTGTGAATTTACAGCTTTCAAGAGAGTAGTTCCTTTACCTTAGAGTGAAATTGAAGCCTTGTTCCCATCCTACTTCTCTTGGATCAGAGATGCACTATGCACCTTGTGTACACAGCAGCAAGTTCGAGCTGATTGGATTTAGAGCTGCCAATTAGCTGAATTAAGTTTTTATACTTCCACTTGAAAAATTCTAAGCATAAAAACAAATCCTCATCCTGTGACTTAATTGCTACTTTTCAAGAGTCTTCTTGTTTTCTTCTTGAAATAATGAAATGTTTCTTATTTATTTATTTATTTATTTTTATTGTAGATACAACACACCATTCAAGACACAGATTCAGAAATGGGTGCACTATCTTTCCAACACAACAGATATCATTGAGGACTGGCTGACTGTGCAGAACTTGTGGATTTATTTAGAAGCTGTTTTTATTGGTGGTGATATAGCAAGGCAGCTTCCAAAGGTTTCTAGACATGCTTTTTTTTAGTTTGCTTATCAACATTTTAAGAGTAAAACTTAACTGTGATGTCATAACTGATGCAGTAAAATAAACTTAATTTCTTCTAGTATTTAACAAAACTGATCTTGCTAGGAAATTAGATAAGCAGTGCCAATGGAAGGCATGGTGTGAGAAAGAATAATAAAATCATGTGATGTTTGATCTTTTGATTTCTAGATTGTAAACCTGCTAATTAATATGTATTTAAACACTGTGCCTAGCAGTAGCTTCGTCTAGTAGTACCTACCATTAACATAGTAGTACCTAGGAATCCTTGTCTTAAACTTACCTGCATGGCTTTTCAAATTAAAAATGAATTTCAGTTTTAGAAAAAAAATCTCCAAATTTGAAGCTTAAAATCATGTATAATGAATTTTCTGTCTTTTTCTCTAGAAGTGTAAGAGAAAGTCCATGGCAGGCTTGACAGCCAAGTATAAAATTTGTGTAATTTATTGTGTAAGCAGAAAGAATTATGCCTAAAATGAAAAATTTCTAGAAGGCATGTGATTACTAGTGAGAAGATTGCTGTTGAGATTACTGGGTGCTGGTTCTGGAAGCAGGTGCCTTCTCCCTCATTTCTCTTCCTTCCTCCATTTCTTCCATTCCACATTCATTGTCATGTTTCAACAGGAAGCAAAGCGTTTCTCTAACATTGATAAATCCTGGGTAAGGATCATGACCCGAGCTCATGAAACACCCAATGTTATTCAATGTTGTGTTGGAGATGAAATAATGGGACAGTTATTGCCACATTTACTGGAACAGCTTGAAATCTGTCAGAAATCGCTCACAGGGTAAGATGACTGTGAGACCATATTCTTGGCCAGATGGTTGTGCACTGTGTAACTAGGGAAAGAGAAATTGCTCAAGTACTGTCCCGTGAACTTTGAAAAGATCATGTTCTTATTCCACTATGAATTCAGTTGAACTGAGCAAACAAGTTAGCAGGATAATGCAACACCTCCTAAGAAATTTCCGCCAACTCATGGCTAAGTATTTGATTTGTGGCTAACTCTGGCGTCACTCACTGTCTATCTCTGTTGGAACCACAGCTGATTTCAGCCTAGTTTCAAACCAGAAGCCAGTCTAGATTTGTGTATCCCATCCACCCTTTTCACAGATCTGGGAGACATTCAGCTTGTTAGATGTAAATAGCAAGTAAAAGAGTTAATGTAAAATATATTTTATTTCAGTTTAGTTTATTTCCTTTTTACTTCTGTTTCGATTGTAGCAAATAATAAAAGCTTTTTGTGAAATGATTTCTGATACTAAGATACAGTAGCTTTTAAAGCAGATGCTTAACATGAACGTATAATGGATAAAAATTGTCATTGCTACAACTAAAATTGTATAATAAATTGTGAGAAATACCACTTTTAAAGAGGAAAGGATGTATAAATTAACCCAAATAACTTACCGTCTACCCCCCTCCCACCTTCTCTACCAATTTTTTAAAAATGCAGGTATCTGGAAAAAAAGCGCCTCCTATTTCCACGATTCTTCTTCGTGTCAGATCCTGCTCTCTTAGAAATTCTTGGCCAGGCATCCAACTCTCACAATATACAGGCACATCTGCTGAATGTGTTTGACAACATTAAAACTGTCAGGTTCCATGAAAAGGTATGTACTGCTCTCACTTCAGCTTTACATTCCTTCACATTAACGATGTATGATTCCTGCTAATTTAGAGAGCTACTTGGTTGCATAAGGCATTCTACTGTTTTACCTTATTCACCAACTATTTGATGCTGAGTAGGCTTTCTTCATTAAAGACCTGTTTCATATCCTCATTTATGAGGATGTTGCCTTAAGAGGCTACTGGAACAGATGCTGGACAGAGTTAAAGGAATAAAGTAGGTATTTATTAAAAGGCCTTCAAAGGATACACCTTGGGCAGTACAAAAGCCCATGGCTCTACCCAAGATGGACACAAGATGGATGACCAGTCATGAGTTTTCACACTTTTATAAGTTTTGGTCCATTTACATATTGAGGTTTATTGTCCAATTACAGCTTCAGGTTATGAAGTCCCATCCTCCCAGATTTTTCTTAATTCACAGTTGTTTATACCTTTTTGGGCCTGAAGCTGCAATGGTGTTCTTGGTTCTCGGGCTGGAAAAGGATTGTTTTGTCTAACTACCCTGTGAAGAGAACTTGCTAACACTTTATATGAAGTTCAGAGTCACACACTAAGGCAGTACAGAATCTGGAAAATATGAAAGCTAAAACTTAAGGCATCAACATGAAGTTTTCTTCATGTAGAATGGCAAACCAAATATTTGCACCGGTGCTTATATTTCAGAAAAATCCACCCATATACTGCACTTTTTTCTGTGGCTTCCTCTCAAATAAGCTTTTGAGTCTTTATGACCTTATTTATTTATTTTCACTGACTGTATTTGTATTTTTCCATTCATTTTTTGATTGTAAGAAAAAGTGTGTCTACTGTCTGTCCTGTTTCTGAGCTGTCCTTATGCTGCCTTCAGACACAGTGTTTGAAGAGCACTTTTCTTATACCTTTTATAAGAACAGATAGCAACATTTTTTCCTTATGTATGCATTTCCTAGAAGCCAATTACCTTCCCATGCTTTTGAAATTCCTTTGACTGTCCATGTTCCTTAACTTTTCTGTTCTCATTATTTTTGATTCTAAGGCTGTAAATTTGGTAGGCTGTTAGCCCACCAGTAATGGGGGAAAGTTTCCTTTATTGTGACTGGAAAGTGGATGTTGTCATAGAATCAAAGAATGGGTCAGGTTGGAAGGGACCACAGTGGGTCATCTGGTCATCTGCTCAAGAAGGGTCATCCTAGAGCACGTGTCACAGGATTGCCACTGAAACTTCAGGGAGATTCAAGAATTGTCAATATATTCCGGTTTGTCTCCTTGTTCATGACAGTATTTTGTTCAAAGCCTTTCTGCCTAGTAAAGTAATGATTTAATAGTCTTTACATTTCATTGAACAAGTTGATATAATTTATTAGTGACTTAACTCAGTTTAATGGAGTGATTGCAAAAAAATATGAATTACTGTAAAGATAGATACCGTATCTATAAACACAAGGTATTTTTTCTTTTACTAGATATATGATCGTATATTGTCAATTAGTTCACGAGAGGGTGAGACTGTAGAGCTGACTAGGCCTGTAATGGCTGAAGGTAATGTGGAAGTTTGGCTCAGCTCTCTGTTGAAGGAAGCCCAGCTATCACTACATCAAGTCATTCGCCAAGCAGCTATGGACATCCAGGAAACGAGTTTCCAGATTACTGAATTTCTTTCTACTTACCCAGCCCAGGTAGTATCATTGTTAAATGTATGAAGAATTATTCACAGATATGTATCAGTTTCTTTTCTTGTCTTTGCCTTTGAAGTTGCAGCCAGTGTTAAATACAAAACTAGCATTTAATTTTATTTGAATCATCTCAATCTTTTAAGTTTCAGCTTCACATAGCTGAAACCAAAAGAAGATAATTTACCTCAAAGCTCCTATTTAAAAAGGATGCTGATTGCAATAAATTAATGTGATGTTTACACTAATTCTTTGTAAGCTTAATAATTGACTACTAGAGGAAGAGTAGTAAAATTGTGTGTTTGTTCATATATTCAGGATAGTGTTATGTATTGCTAAAGATTTGAAACTGAGGGTAGTGTTGAGGAAAAATTATTTTTTTAGTAGAAGCTTCATTTGTGATCAGGAATGTTGCTGGAATTGGAATAAACACTTTGTGAATTACTAGAGAAATTCAAATTGAATCACTAGTTATTCAGTGGTTAGTTATACATACTTTATATTATTTATATAAAGCATATTTGTTGCATACAGTATTTTTATATATATTTTAAATTATATTGAGCAGTTGTATAAGCAATGCACTGTAGGCAGTATCTACAAGACTGAATGTCTTAGTTTAGGGCAAATGAGGAAGGAAAACTCCAAATGGGGATTTCCCCAGGGAAATGCCCCTCCCCACTAACTGGTCCGGGAAAAGAAAAAAATTCCTTAGAGAGAAGTGGAAAAAGCTGTTTATTTAACAGAAATTGAGTAATATTAAATAATAAAACCTCTTGCTGTTCGATGGGATGGCAAGTCTAGGAAGAAAAGTCCTTTTCATGTGGTGTAGCTCGGCTCGCTCAGGTTCTTATCAGTCCCTCCGGCGCTGGAAAGTGCCGAGGCCCAGGCCCCGGTGGGCCACAGGCGTGAGCTCCCGGGGTTTAGCTGGGTGTTCAGTCCAGAGCAGGCTTGCACAGATCCAAGAAAATTGGGAAAAAAACAAACAAAGGTCTAGGGAACTCCTCTGCCTCAGCTAGCTAAAACTAACTAAAATCCAGAGAGAAGCTCTGTCCCGCTGTCTGTCCGTGCTGCAGACACCGCAGTCCAGGAGCGGGATGTGTGGGAGTGATGTTTTTCCTTAACACAAACTGCGCGCTTCTTCTTCCCCCTCTCTTGATCTCAAAGCCAGTCTTAAAGGTGCAGAACTTAATATATAACATAAACCAGACGATTGGGGATACCAGTATCATAAAGTCACCCCAGGACACTGAAGTAAAGGCTTAATTATGCATTTATGAATGCACTTTGGACACACAAAACACGACCTCTGTATGAATGCATGGAAAGTAATTTTATACATATAGCAGGAGAACAAACAAGTTCTTCAGTTTTGCTGTGTCTGTGAATGTACATTTTAGGTGAAAAAGATTATGAAGTATATACTTCTGTGTTTCCTAAGGTCGGGTTATTGGGGATCCAAATGATTTGGACAAGAGATTCAGAAGCAGCTTTGACTCTTGCCAAGCAGGATAAAAAAGTTATGCGCAAGACGAATCAGTTTTTCTTGGATCTTCTGAACATGTTGATAGATATGACAACAAAAGATCTTAGTCCAGTTGAGCGAGTTAAATACGAGACATTAATCACTATTCATGTCCATCAGAGGGACATTTTTGATGGTCTTGTAAGTATTAAAAAATTAACAATTAATTATGAGGGATTTTCCACATAAAACAATGTGAAATGATAAGAAAATATTATGATACCTATGAACTCCTACCTTATAAGATAAACATTTAATTTCATGACTGTAATGACTTTGTGTCCATGTATATGGAATATTATAAAAATGCTGACATTGTTTCAATCATGTTGTTTCAGTAGCAGAATTTCATAATGTTTCATGTTGCCCACTAAAGTTAAATGCCTCTGTTGCATGATCAGTTAAGGACTTCTTTTTCCTCACACATTTTGTTGCAAGTAATTGTCCTTATTCTGGACTGCATTATGAATTTCTACAAGTAAATAAAATATAGAATTGCAGTACAGTAAAATGTTTGAAGCTGATACCCTCTCTGTTCTCATTTCAGTAACATACCTAATTATTACTAAAGGATTTCTTTATTCTCTTTACACCTTCTCATGCTGACACAGGATGCTAAAATAAGCAAAATGAAAGCATTTAGCTTAATCAAATGTAAAGCTAGTGTACCTTTTTACCTTGTGGTGGTTTTAAAACACTGGCTAAAAAATCACCAGAAAACTTACTCATCTCTTGCTGTGAGATATGCATTAGGAGAAGGGCAAAACAGGCTTAAAACTTAAAAAGAATAAACAAAGTTTATTAACAAAACTACAAGAAAAAGAAACCAGAATAAAACATCAAGAAACCTTTCTTCCCCACCACCCAACTATGCCCTTGTCCAACTTACGGCATAGAGACAAAACCTGGTGGTTAAAAGAAGTCTCAATTTTGCAATAGTCTTTTCATTAGTCTTTGTAGAGAAAAGGAGTCTTCTTTTGTCATTCTGTGGAGAGTTCTCCACAATGAAAAAACCAGTTTTCTCATGGCTTTTCATTTCTCTGATGCTAGCTGCCTGGAAAACTCTGTCATCAAGATTTCCTCCCATTTCACACCATTCTGATGTGTGTCCATGGGCCATGAACTCAAGGGGTTTCATTTGAAGGATGAGTTATTCAAAGGCAAAGGTTCTCTTCATCTGTCTCTGTGATCATCTCTGGGAACAGAGGTCTTCTCGTTTTTTCTTGGGGGCCAAATATCTCTATCAGCTCTCACTTCTCTTTCTCTGTTCCAGCATCTCATGAGATCACGACTGCTTCACCATCTGCTCAGCTTCATCAATGGATTACTATTGCTTAGATTTACACTTTGAAATATTTCATTCCCCCCAAAATACTCTTTCTTGAATTAAAAGAGTTTTTCAGAACATTATTGTCCATTTCTATATCTTCAACAAAAAAATATTTCAGCTTATTAAGGCATCTCCTTTTCTCTTCCCATCTGAAGCTTAATTCTTTCTTTCACTAACTGTGATAGTTTATGTTGTCTTTCTACATGTTGATCACTTTCGTTTTCTTCTCTCTGAAAAAGGAATAAATCTGCAGGTCTCATATAGGTAGTGAAAGAGTTAAAATCTTGCCCAGGCCTTGTGGATGGTCCCGTGATCTCTGTTGGGGCAGCGGCTGGAGCTGTCTGTGATGGAAGATTTTCAGCGGCTGCGCTGGGGGATGGGGGCCAGCATCTCAGCAGCCAGGCTAGCCCTCAGAGGCAGCACACCACCGGCCGATGGCTTCCCTCGCCCTACTTGGCAGCCTCTGGTGAAACCCAGCAGTGGCAGAATTCCAGCCGAGCCAGGGACCAGCCTGGGCTGGCAGCCCCACTGTACAGGGCCTGGGGGGCTTCCTGAGGGGGCTCAGCCCCTCTGGGAAGGGGCTCCTGTCACTTCACAGTCTCCATCCCTCCCCCTGCCCGGGAGCTGCTGGAGTCTGGCTCAGCCCCCTCTCCCCAGGCCGGACAAGGCCGCGGGGGGAGCAGGGCCAGCTGGAGCTCTGTTACCTTTCACAGCCGGAAACTAAAAAAAGAGACCAAGCCTCCCCGGCTTAGGTTTAAAAGGTGGTAGTCACAGGGTTGATCTCACATTTCAATGGTCAAAACCACTGTCAATTCTCAGAAATGGCCAGTTATTGGCCAGTCTCCAGCCGGCCCCCCCCGCCCCCCCCCCCCCCAAATCAACCTCTCTCTCAAAGCCTTCACTTCTGTGTTTTTCAGTTTTTTCCTTAAATGCCTAACTATCATGTACTATCATATACCTATAAGATGTCCTGGAACTGATTCTGAAATTAGGCTATCAAGAAAAGAATTATTGAGTTTTGGCCCATTATTGATAGGAAGGCATTTTTCTTTTCATTTTTTTGTAGAATCATTTCTTCTAGTTATAATCATTTTATGTGAAGTGTAATTTTTAGATACAAACTGATTGATATTTTTAAAAATCCTATTTTAATATTCAATACAGCAACTGTGACTTATTTTCAGCTCTGTTGAATTCCTTAGGTAATATCACTACCATGACACTGCCTTGAAATATCTTTTTACCCAATACCATGTGGTTTCTACAATTCTTATTTCTATCTGTGAAGTCACAAATTATCTTAATTCTACTACAATTCTTATAGCAGTTTATAAAATCAAATATCACATGATGTACTTCCAACTATTGTAAAACTAAAGTGGTAGAGAGGACTAAAAGGAATGGCAATTTTAAGGTTAAACTGAAATGACTCTTGTTTGAGGCTTATGTACTGTTCATCTGTATTTAGAATTTTGACACACTTGTCTAAAGCTTGAAGTTCCTCTGCCTAAGTATGTGATTGATCAATAATACATTAGCAATTTTTGTGGTAAAAATCCAGATAGGCTCTCCACTATTCTTTTGTTACTAGCTTTATGCCTTTCATTATGCTTGCAGTGCTGCCTTTGCATCTACTACTTAGATACCATAATATAAATGTGAAAGTAAATGTTAACCATAAATTCCACAGCTTTGTCTTCCTTCTCTTCTTAGTGCTGCATGCATATCAAGAGCCCTACAGACTTTGAGTGGCTGAAGCAATGTAGATTTTATTTTAATGAAGACTCTGATAAAATGGTGATTAAAATGACTGATGTGAGCTTCACATACCAGAATGAATTCTTGGGCTGTACTGACAGGCTTGTCATAACACCTCTTACAGACAGGTGAAAAAGACTGATTTTATTCCTTTACTCTTTTCTACCAAACCTCAGCTTTTACAAGAGCAATTTAGTCATTCCTGTTGGATGTGGCATTGATCTCTACAGAGTTTATCCTTCATGGTCTTGTCAAAATCAGTAATTTCATATGGACTGCTTCAGTATTTTTGTTTCTGTGCCCTATAATGTGAGTAATTTCCAACTTGTTTTCTGTCACACACTTGAATTGGTCCCAACATACATGATGTATTTGGCCTTTGTATTTATGTAGGTGAAGCCAACATACCTGAGGATCTGATATAACCAACAGATAAAATATGTAGACATACAGGACAAAAGTAGGTGTTTACAAACAAGCTAATGAAAAGAGCTAAGGAAGAACAGACAGGAACAACAATTTTTATTCAGCTGCAGTAGTCTGGAGATCTTTGATCTAAAAGGATGTTGGAAGACTTGTAATCCTATTAACAGAGAGATCTACCTGTCTAACTCAAATAGCATGAAGAATGCTTTATAATCTATCATTGGTGAAATAAGGGCATTGTTAGTTTGGTTTTGCTTTCTTTGGTTTTTTTTTTAACCATTCCATGCAAAAAAAAAATAGAGATAGTCTTGATATAGAATTATTAGCTGGTGTTTTGTTGCATTATGCATAGATGTTTCTTTTATGAAAATGGCACTGTTTAATCAAATTTTAAAGATGGATGAGAAAGGAATGATTAGATGTCTTTCATTATTGTACTCCACAGTATAATGTATTTCAAAAGTACTCCTGATAAAATAACTCAGTATCCAAGCTATTCAAACTAAGATTAGGCAGAACCTGTGTATCTTCTTTCTTCCCTTATGGTGATCTTTCAGTTCACTGATGATTGAGGATTATCTGTTCTTTCGCTTCATGTGTGATGAAATGAGCCTTAATATTCCCTGTGTCAGAGATCAAGTGAAGGGGTTTTGTCCTTACTGATCCAAATTTTAACTACTGGAATGTAATTTCAGCACTTCCCTATTCTCCTTAAATCAACTTGTTTAAGTTCCTCTGGCACTGTGCAGAAAGACTGCCTGGTGCAGCCTGATTGATTGTTGCCTTTTAGATGTTATATCACTTTGGCTCAAGCTTTGGACATGAACATGGGTGGAGCACCTGTGGGACCTGCAGGAACCGGAAAAACTGAAACTGTGAAAGATATGGGACGATGCCTTGGAAAATATGTAGTGGTCTTCAACTGTTCAGACCAGATGGATTTCCGAGGACTTGGGAGGATCTTCAAAGGTAAGATATAGACCAAAGGTAAGCTGTTGGCCAAACAGTTTTCTGTTTTCTGGGGTGCACAAAGCACAGTGGAACTAACTGGGCTGAGAAAGTGGTAGTTCCACTATACTCAGCTTTGGAGTGGCCTAATCTCAAGTACTCTTTGCAGTTCTGGAGTCAACAATATCATAGTATAAAATAGCATAAGAAACCATTGGAAGGTATCCAAATGAGAGCAAAAGAGATGGTGAAATGACGCAGAGCCGGATTTTTCCCCAGCCAGCTCACAGCACCGAGCCAAGAGTGGGCTGCTCCTGGAAAGCAGGGCAGCTTAGGGCTTATGCTCTACAGCAATGGCTGTCCAGCGTCGAGGGCAGGAGCAAGGACGAGGGAGAGGTCTTCCATGTGGCTTCCAAAAGGGATTCTCTTGGAGGTTCCAGGGAAGAAAAACAAAAGACACAGGGGTACAGCAACTCATATATGGGGGAGGAGCAAGGGGAGTGTACAAATAATAACCCAATAGGGAAGACTTAGGGGAGGAGCACAAGGCAGGGTTACATAATACATAAATCAATGGGGAACACCAGGGGAGGAGAGTGGGGCACATGGTCCAATGGGGCTCGGAGGAATAGGGGAATTCCCAAGGGGGCGGTCCAGGCAGGGGTTGACACAAGGGATGATTGACAACTTAATGGGAGGGGGAACAGGGAACATTCGGGAACAAGGGGCAGGTATCCGGGTGCATTGGCAACTGGGGTAGGAGGACACGATTGGGACGAAAGTATTAGCATGGGGGGAGGACACAACAATAAAGAATGTAACTGAATCAAATATAATGAACAACAATGCACCGCAACAGTGAAAGAGCTAGAGGACATGACTTTAGAGAAACAGCTGAATGAACCCTGTTTGTTTTGATTTGAGAAAGGGAGACTAAGGGGTGCCCTCATTTCTGTTTGTAACTTCCTAATGAGGGAGAGTGGAAATGGAGGTACTGATCTCTCTGGTGTCTGAGAATAGGACATGGGGGAGTGGCTTGAAGCTGCATTGGGTGAAATTCAAGCTAGATATTCATTGAGAGTATGGAAACACTGGAACAAACTTGCCAAGGAAGTCATTGGGGTCTCAAGCCTGTTAGTGTCCAAATAGTGCTCAGTGTCCAATTTGGTCTTGCAAATAACTATCTTATATACATACATATATATATGTATATATATATGGTTTAACTTTTAGATACACCTTCATGGAGTCAGGAGTTCTACTTGTTGATCCTCATGAGTCCTTTATAAGTCCTTTATAAGCCCTTTATAAGTCAGTCCTTTATATTCTGAGATTATATGGTTTTATGAACTACATGGAAGTTTCAAATTATGTCATCTCTATGAAACAATACACATAACCAGGAGATGGTTTCAGCCTTTTAATAAATGCAAGTAATTAATATCTTGTTATGTGTATAAAACACAGTTGCAACACTGTCTTCAGGAAATAGAAATGTCTGAAAACATGACGCAGTTTATGAAAGGATAAAGTCACTTAAAATGACTTAAAGTCATAAGGAGAAATGCTTCTATGAAGAGAAAATGCTGTGAAATGTATTGCTGAACTGGTGGGACATGCTGAATTTTGATTTGAGTATTTGGTCTTGTTCAAATATTGAAGTTTCTATCAGTATAAGGAAATGCATGGGTAGTGCTATATATGTTAAAAACAAATGGCAGAGCTCACTGAATTAGGTGCAGATGACATTTTTTAGGCATCTGAAATTGATACCTGGCAGTCATGGCAGATGTCATATTAGAGGTCAAATGGAGGTTCTTGACTACTGTATTGTTGCAGGTGACTGTATCTATGATTTTGTTTTGTTTTCCCCCCAAAAACCCAAGGAAAAATATCCAGCTCTGGCATAGACTGACCTCCAGCTTCTTTATGCAACTGTATTGTTCATTTTAATATGTGCAATAAGCTATTGACAACCTGCCACATTTTCATAGAATTACTGCAGGAATTTTTCTTGGGGGATAAAGAGGGACAGGAAAACATTCAAGATGTAAGGAAAGGAGAAGAAATCAAAGAACATTGTATCCTGGAAAATCTTAAGGACTTTGTGAACTTGTATTTTCTTACTTGAAAAGGATTTAAAATTCTCTTTGTTCCTTTCCCAACCCTCAAAAACAAACACACCCCCACCCCACCCCGAGATAGATTAACTTAATTTTTGGCTTGTGAATTGCACCAAAAAAGGGTTGAAAACATAACAGTCATATGCTTAGTTGCTTTTCTCTTTGAAGGTCTTGCTCAGTCTGGCTCCTGGGGTTGCTTTGATGAATTCAATCGTATTGATTTACCAGTGCTATCAGTTGCTGCACAGCAAATAGCAATTGTGTTGACATGTAAGAAGAAACGTAAAAAGAGATTTATTTTTACTGACGGAGACAATGTAGAAATGAATCCAGAATTTGGCATCTTTCTTACTATGGTAAGTATTCAGTAAGTTTTAAACCAATGATGATTGTACAATAATCGAGTCTAACTTTATATGTTAAGTGTACTTGCTAACTCTTACGTCATTCAGTTCTTAGAACTAAACCTGATAGTTTGAAAATATTGAGCATTGCTGCAAACGCAGTTTAAAGGGTCTTGTTTCAAGAACATCAAGCACATGAAACTAACAAATGCAGGCAGCACCATAAATACAAGTTATCTCAACTTCAGCTTGCTTCTACATGACAAAGTATGCTTTTTGCTACAATTACAGAAAAATTGCCATAGAGATATAGGTAGGAGTAGCCAGTAAAAATAGGACCTATATGACAAACTCAAATTTGAAATGCTTTGGTTGAACATTTTTCATATCTCATGGCTATAAAAGAGGCAAAAATTCTGTAGAGATATGGTGGTAAGTCTGCATGGCAATTAATTTTGACATGTAACTTAAAGCCAGCAAATTATTTTTACCTACCAAGAAGGCATATTCCTTTGCTGATTCTTCTGCTTGTGCAAGGTACACTCAACTTCAACACCTGTTTTTCCTCTCCAGAATCCAGGATATGCTGGACGGCAAGAACTTCCTGAAAACTTGAAGATCAATTTTCGTTCCGTGGCTATGATGGTTCCTGATCGTCAAATCATAATTCGTGTTAAATTGGCTAGCTGTGGTTTCATTGCTAATGTTGTGTTGGCAAGGAAATTCTTTACACTGTACAAGCTGTGTGAAGAACAACTGTCAAAGCAGGTGAATATATTCATATGATGCAACCTGATTATTTTAGGAAAAAACCTATCTGTGAAGTCACAAAATATTCATGTGAAAAATAAAGAAAGGTTCGTGTTCACTAAGTAAGATGAGACACTTGCAGTGTAGTAATGCAGCTCTCTGCTGTCCTGGGAGATTAATCCCTGCTGCAGGTTGTTGGTGCAACAATGGTGCTTTCATTCAGAAGACCACTTATTATTAAGATTTAGCTTTAATGAATGGTGATGGCTGAGACAAGTAAAGGCTTTAAAGCCTTTTTTTGTATTACAGATTGGGTTGAGAGACATTTGGTTTGTGCTGCCTGTGCTTGTTTTCCAGTTTCCAAAGGCCACAGAGAATCAAAATAATACTGATAAAGTATTTCTCAATAGTCCTTGGGAACCCTGTCTTGATTCAATGACTTGTGATTCCTTTTTCTTTTCTGTCATACCTTAGATTTTAATAGATGTGACAGATTTGGAAAGTGAAGTTGCCCATAGTCATACAGCCAAAGAATAATTGATGGATGTTTGGAGGCGTTTGAAACTCTCCTACTTCCACTTCTCTCTCCACTTCTCCTACATATACATCCATTTCTTAAATAGTAAATAAGAGCTGTTTTGTCCCTATTAAATTTCCCCAAACTTCATATATCTTCTAGGTGCATTACGATTTTGGCTTGCGGAATATATTGTCTGTGTTGCGTACACTTGGAGCAGCAAAAAGAGCGAATCCCACAGATACTGAATCTACCATTGTCATGCGTGTGCTGAGAGATATGAACCTGTCTAAGCTAGTAAGTTCTGAGGGCCTGATAAATAATTTAAACCATGCTTTGGAGCTAGTGATGACTAGAAGATTGTATGTGACCTCTACACTGAAGCTAGCTTGGAATGTTTCATTCTCTGAGTGGAACATTTTGAATGGAATAGAGATAAATTTCTTGTTTATATCATATCCTGTTTGGGGTTGAGGAGAGAGTGAGCTGGCTGTTGCTTGGCTTCTTATACGAATTCTTATATTGAATTGTTCAGAATTTGTTTTCTGTATTTTCCCTGCTACCTTTAGAAGTAAGTGACAAAATAGATGTCTATGCAGTAACTTCTTTAGAAACTTTGTGCTTAAGTATTTAGTCACTCTTTTGAAAGAATCTGTTATTGATAGTAATGAATATCATCTCACCTGCCTAAATAACTAACAGCCTTCTTCTGTTGCTGTGATATCTTTGATGATGATCTTTTTTTTTACACCAGATAAACTAGACAATAGTTTTCTAAATGTTATTGCTAAAATGTGCTATAAGAAATTCTGTCTGCATGTTAGTGGCTTATTTTGACTGATAGAAGCATCATATGATCTCTTTCTGTGGTGTCCTTCTGATGTTTAGTGCCTTAGAGGATTATTATAGATGGTTCCTTATGTTCTCAAGCATTTTTTCAGGTCTTCAGAACTCAGGGATTGTTTGTTTTAAAGTTGATAAAATAAATAGAACAGGTTTTAATCTGTGTGGATTTTTGTTTTCCCTGATTTTCACTAGATTGATGAAGATGAACCCTTATTTCTGAGTCTAATTGAAGATCTGTTTCCAGATATCCAGCTTGATAAAGCAGGCTATCCTGAACTTGAAGCAGCCATTGACAAACAGGTGATGTTTCTCATGATCTATCATGCTGTGGCATAACTGTCATGTTTTCTTAGGTGTCATATGACACCTAAGAAAATCATTGTTGTGGAGTCTATTCAGATGGCAATATTATATTTCACTATTTAGAGGAAGCATAAGCTTTTCCATAAATCTTTACCACTATCATATGATTATTAAGCTTATTCTTCAGGAGGTCACTGAGTTGGGATTATAATGTCCTGTGGTTTACTTGAGTCATGGTTACTGGGGTCCAGTTTGGAAAATGCATGTATATAAACTTGTTTTACATGACCTAGGATTTAATATTTGTCTAAAGTATTGACAATTAGAATATTCATTAGATAAAAGATTTACTTAAAATTACATATCTTTTATTTAATTTCCCATTAGGTGTTTGTAATACTTCAGTAGGGACAACTTCCAAATATAATATATAGATATATAATAGATATATTATAGGTATATCTAATAGAATGATTATAATGTAAATAGAGGCTGGTTTACCTTATTTTTCTGAATGCATATTTGAATAACAAATATATTTTTTCCAACATTTTTTTTAATATACACAAGGCCTTTACAAAAGTATAGTAATCTGTTGATGATATATGTCTGTCTATCTATCTGTCTATCTATCTATCTATCTATCTATCTATCTATCTATCTATCTATCTATTTATTTATCTATCTACCTACCTACCTACCTACCTACCTACTTACCTACCTACCTACTTACCTACCTACCTATCAATATCTAAAGGCATTAAAATATATTTTGTGCTCTAAAATAATAGTAATTTGGTTTTCTGTCACTGTCTCTTAGGTGGAGGAATCTGGCCTTGTTTGTCATCCTCCTTGGAAACTGAAAGTTATCCAGCTTTTTGAAACCCAGAGAGTCAGGCATGGATTGATGACACTAGGACCTAGTGGTGCAGGAAAAACTACTTGCATCCACACCTTAATGAGAGCAATGACAGGTATATTAATACTTATATTGTAAATTGTTACTAAACATTGTACACTTCAAACCCCATTGTTTCTTTGAAAACCTCAGTTGCTTCACTGCGAGAATATATTAATGAAAGAATGAGTTTGTATGTTGAGATACTAATTATTCCAGTAGCTTAAAAATGTCTGACATTCAAAGCCATATGCTTCATGTCCTTTTTTCCATATTATCATACTTTTATCAAAAGTTCTTATTCTTATTCTTACTAAGAAAGAGGAATACAGTGTAGGTAGGCAGCTTAGATGAGTGATTAAAGCATCTCCTGGGTTTTGCTGGGGAAATGCTTAAACCTTTTGCTAATTATAAATATTTAGATCTTTTTGAACACAACGCACAAGACAGGGTCTTTGCAATATAAAATAACTGGTGTTTTAGCCATAAATTCCTGGTTTAGAGAGTCTTCAAGGGTATTTATTTTGTGTCCTGTCTGGAGGCTTGAAGACTGTGTGTGGTTTTTATGTCATCTATATTTCTAAACACAAATATTAGTTGAAGAATGTCTGCTTGATCTTATTAAAATAAAAGGTCATAGCTTGAGGAGAAAAACATCTCTTTTGAGGTAAGCTTGTGTTACCCCACTTCACAAGTTGCTTGTATGATTTTCCAGAAGTGAATAATTTCTGTAAAAAATAGTTCAGCAAGTATCTCATACATGCAGTAAAGCGCTGTGCTCAAGAAGCACTGTAAGCTCTACATTGCAGTGGAAATTACTGTTTCATTTAGGAAAAAAAGCAGAAAGAACAAAGTTGTATTCCACTGTTTTCCTGTCTTTTTTCCTAATGCTGAGATGTGAACTACCACCAAGATAAAGCCACCTCACTATTTTTTACAAAGCTGATCTTCACACACAACCTCATGAAATGTTAAACTATGTGATCTGTCAGGCTTCTATGTTACATGTTCATGAAATCTGATTATGATGAAATTATTTTAAAATAAGTAATTTTTCATCTTTTTCTTTCAACATCTTATTACTGGCTCCTGGTTACATTTTAATCTTGTTTTTTTTTAAAGATGTCTTCCATAGTAGGTTTTAAACTGTTGCTAATGAGATAAAAATAAAGGCTATATGATCATGGTATGGCTAGATAGAATTTATCGGTCTAAGAGAATTCACAAGAATATAAAAATATTGTATACTTTATTCTAAGATGTATGCAAGTGCACAGAAGGGCAAAATATCATCAAAAAATCATCTGTCTGATATTTATTCATTGGGTTTTAAAAATATACATCCAAACCAAATGTTTTAAAGCTCTATTGTTTGATAAGCCTTCAAAATATTGAATTAAACTTTGAATAAATTTAATCTTGCTGCTTTTCTGTTCCCAATGAAGCTATGCAATGTGAATTAAATATTCAAAAGTTTCAGAATTTCGTTCTACTTTTTTTGATGTCTCCAATGAATGAATTTTGTATAGCAAGAAAAGTTTTTCAAGTAAATACACACATTGTTGTAATTATGAATGCATATTAAAGCATACATTTGGGTGGAATGAGTTTGAATTTGTCAAAGTTGTCTTACTGCTGAAAAGAAATGCAAAAACTAACTGGTGATCTGCCTTTATAGATTGTGGACAGCCACATCGTGAAATGAGAATGAATCCTAAAGCTATAACTGCTCCACAAATGTTTGGACGCCTTGATGTGGCAACAAATGATTGGACAGATGGAATATTTTCAACACTCTGGAGAAAAACTTTAAGAGCAAAGAAAGGTATTGTGGTGGGTTGACCTTGACTGGACTCCCGATGCCCATCAAGTTGCACTACCACCCCTTTGCACAGTTGGACAGGGGGGAGAAGATAAATGGAAAATAACTTGTAGGTTGAGAGAAGGCAGTTCACTAAAGTAAAAGCAAAAATTTGTGTGGGCACAAGCAAAGAGAAAAAAAGGTTTGCTCTCTACTTCCCATCAGAAAACAATGTTCAGGAGCAATGTTCCCAGGAAGCAGGGCTTCAGCACACATAGAAGGTCGCTCTGGAAAGCAAACCTTGTAAACAGCAGATGCCCCACCCTCCTCCTTTCTCTAGCTTTTATATCTGAGCAGATGTCGTAGGGTATGGCATATCCCTTTGCATATTTTGGTCAGCTGGCCTGGTTGTGTCCTCTCCCAGGATTTTGTCCACTACCAGCCCCTTTATGTGGGGAAAGGAACTCCAGCTCAGCTAGACCCAATACAGGTATAATGAAAGAGGCTTCCATTCAAAATAAAACAAGATAAAACCTCAAGCTTCAGGAAAACTTTATAAAACACAGAAGCAGATATTTTTTTTTCCCCTTACATGGAAGAGTTGGGAAATTGCTGGAAGAACTTCTGTCCCTTTTACAGTCTGTATTCTAAATGCTTTGTGATCAAACAGTGTAGTGTAACAAATACTACTTCACTGCATTTACTTAATGCTCTCTTTTGTTTGTTAGGCCCTCATATCAAAGGAAAGTGGAAGGTAAAAGTCAGTTGCTCCAGCAGTGGGATCCTATAAAAATTTTGGTGCTGCCAGGATTTTTACCTGTTCTCCATCTGACATATTAAAAGGAAATAAATCTCATCAGTTGTGTCATGCCAGCTAGCCCTACACATATCATAGTCCATCTCAAATGGCAGTAGATAATTCTATTTAGGCAGATAATTTCTGCCTAAAATGATGCTGACATACGTTCTTAGACTGCTATATTAACTAGAAGAGTGGCCATGATAATTTGATGCTAGATGGTTTCTTCCTTTTTCTGTCTGAAAATTAGTATGTGATCGTATCATTATGCCTTAAAAGAAAAAATTGAAGAAAATCCTAACACTTGTAGTATTTTCATACAAAAATTCCTAGTCTTCAGAAATACAGATACTTTTAAAATAGAAAATGCTTTCAATTTAATTTTGGTAGGCTTGTTTAAAATCTAGAAACTCTTGAGAATGTAGCATAGCACTAACTACTGAATTTTTTATCTTTTCCTTCAAGATGAAATATATATTAGCACACTCATATGACTTCCTCAGATTTACTCTCTAAGTGTTCTGTAATATTTCTTTATGTGTCAGTCTCCAGACTATCTCATGCTTGAGATGCGTGAAGTGTAGCTATAAAAATCCTCTGCATATAAAAAGTTTATCATCTATTTCATATCTCTTTGGTTCAACACTAGCAAAGCTCCAAGCCACCCAGGCCTCTGTAATAAGCACTGACTCAAGGCAGCTGGATCGTCTCTGGCTAAAGAGCCATCATGCAAGGCTGTCTGCTCCCTAAGGGGTGGGCAGCCAGAAGCCAAGGTGGGATCTCTTTCCAGCCAGGGTCTGTTGCCCAAGTGAGGCAAGCAGAACAGACCCAGACCCTCCTAGGAAACAGAGGAAGGCTTTAAAATACATTCCTGTTAGTAAATACAAAGCAATGGAAACATTTAAAATGAAGCTGGATCAAATTTAAGGACAGAACAAATGACAAGAATCTTCCCATAATGGACTTCTTATACTTACGACAGTGTTTATGCTATTTGAAAGAGTAGTTTTTCAAGTGTTCCTTTCATTTAATTTCTCTGCATTTGTAAAACTCATTGGAAGCAAATGAATGGTGTTTAAATAAATTTGTAGTCACTATCTTCTTAAAGTTGTTTTATGTAATTTGAAATAAACCTAATTTATTACTGTCTTGGAGACTGGATTCATAAAACTCTTTCAGCGTATTAAAAATTTGACTTATGCTGATGGCACTTTATAAACTGAAGAATGGATAATTATTATCAATAGGTGACAAAATGAAGTACCCAACTGAAACTGAGTGATAGAAATGGTAATTGTTTTAAAAGCTGAGATTGTAGCTGTGTGCACAAATTCAGAATTAATTAAAAATTTGTCTGCAGATATAAGAAACCTTTCCTTGAAAGAAACTAGCACTTCATCCACAGAGCTTTTTATCTGTTATATCTGTTCATCTTTTGTCTTGGATTATAGGTGACCACATCTGGATAGTTCTCGATGGTCCAGTTGATGCTATTTGGATTGAGAACCTTAATTCTGTCCTGGATGACAACAGAACTCTAACACTAGCAAACGGTGATCGGATACCTATGGCACCAAATTGCAAAATAGTATTTGAGCCTCATAATATTGATAACGCTTCTCCAGCAACAGTTTCAAGAAATGGGATGGTATTCATGAGCTCATCAGTTCTCACCTGGAGTCCTATCCTTGAGGTACAACAGCTAAGTGTCTGTATATATATATTGAAAGTTTTACTGGTTACTTCTTCCACACTTCACTCTTGTTACTTTAGGACCTATTTTGTCCCTTTTACTATGAAATCCCTTTTACTCTGTATAAATTTCTATGTCAGTACTTAAAAGAGCAGTGTTTCTAGTACACTACTCAGGATTAACACTTGAAAAAAATAAAATAAAATAAAAATTATTTTTTTTTCCTCTGCATTTCTTTTTGTCTAGGCCATCTTGTTGAGAATGTTTGGTTAACATTATTTAGCTTTAATAAAATATGGACTATCTCCTGAATATCAAAAATGAAAACTTTCTTCTGTGTGGCTAAGATACTGATTGTTGGTGTCATACAGATAATTACTTAATTAATTTCCCCTGAAACCCAAATTATATTTGGTATAATTCAGTATAATTCTGAATTAAATTCCTTTATATGTGCTTTAGACTTAAAATTTAAGATAGGAATTATTTCTGGTTTATGGAATTGGAATGCCATCCAGGTGTTTGTAGTATATTTGTCCCCTTGCTTTTCAGGCTCAAAGAACAAAACTTTATCGGCTACTATGAGCTAATAGACTAAATTTTACTGTTCTCCTTTCTAGAATGTATTACATGAACAAGATTTTTAAAATATTTTTTAAGATTAATGTTTCAGAGTCTCAGTCACTCATTTAATTTTTTAAGTCAAATAGGATACCAGTGGAAAATGCAACTAATCCTCACCTAGTTACTGTTGCTTAACTAGTCCTGTGAAAATGCAGTTGGCTTCACATAACTTTCAGATGTCAGCCTTCTGTAGTGATTACTCTGTTTTAGTCTCAGCTTGCTTGTTTTTTTAACCCATAAAGGTTCTCATGATTGTAAGTTTTATATAGCTGGCTTGTTTCAGATTCCTTATCCCTAAATTCCTGATTTGTCTGGCAACAGAGGAAAATTGGCTTGTGAGACTGCCTAGAACCACTGTCCTTAGCAAATTAGAGGTTTCAGCCCAGACAGAAATCAAGAGACCGTATGCTGTAGTGCAAGCCCTAGTGACAGGCAGTACCTGGTGCCTCTGTTTGGGACTGGAGATAGTGAAGCCCCTCTGGGAAAAGCCAGGGGATGTTTTTGGTGAACAGACATTACCAAGGTGAGGAAGGCTGTAAACTTAGGATTTCTGGCAACAAACACAAGGTTTCTTCTCCACCTGTAGATCTGAAATGGCAGGTCAGGTATTATGCCTTGAAAATAGGTGAGGAGCAGCAAGACACACTAGGGAGGGCACCAGAATGCTGCTTTGCCTTAACCCATTAGGAGGTAAAGGAATGGGCTTGTTATCAGTTCGTGTGTCAGAAGCACCCATATCCTGTTGACTTGTTGCAAGCTTGGAGGTTTGCAGCTTGTGAAGAACTAAGGGTTGCTGTAGAAGGCTAATACTATACTTTTTTAGTGGTGTCTAAAGCTTTTTCTTTTTAGAATGCTATTAAATCACTGACTGAACTGTCTGTTCGGTCACAGCTCTCTGCAATACTTGAGAATCATCACTAATTCATTGAGTTCCTTTGCCAAGTCGAAAATATTTGTAGTGTTATTATAAAAAAAGTGTTTAACAAGTTTCCTAAAAAATTGGCTGGTAAAACTTCAGTTTTACCAATGCAAATACATGCAGTCAACTCAAGTGCCTTATGTATGCTATTGCCAAGTGTTACTTGTTTTTTAAATTTTTTAATCTAATATGGATACTGGGGAAAGTTATGCATCTAGGACAGTGGCTTCCCTGAGATTCCACTTGTGTTGCTCCTTTCCTCTTCTTACAACGCTGTATAGGGCCTACTGATCTTAGGTTCTCACAGCTCTGCCTCCTTGCATTGCTTAGCTTGCAGACAACCACTTATTGGATGTTAAAACTGTGCTAAAGATTCAGCTGCAAAGACAGCAGAAAGAAAAGCATTTTATTTTGCATTATCACTCATTATTTACCTTCTCACTTTAAAGTGTGATGAAGGCTAAATTTAGTTGTGTTGAAGTGTTATATGAAACTAGTTTTCCTTAATCCATGACCTTGTGGCTTTAGTATACTTTGGTGATAGAAACAGACTAAAAAAAAGAAACTTTCTTGGTTTTTTTTTTAATATTTTGGATTATATAAACCAAATTATGTTAATTTCACCATGAAGTAACCTTTCCAACTTCCTTTCCCTTTTGAAAATATAGCCTATAAAATTGCAGCCTATAGTTATTTATAATTTGATCCAATAGTATTTATTTGAGTTTTTTTTGGTTTGGTCTTACATCATAAATTAAATATCTTGATAGCTTTTCCAGTGCACTTCCCTTAAATCTATTGTAATGCAATATACTGTATATTCCAACAGGTCAGGATGTATGTTAACCTTGCTAATTCTTAGATGCTGAATGAAGCATGGTATTTGTTGATATTTCAGAAGAACTTTAAAAAATATTTAAAGACAAATATGGATAACTCAGGAAGCTGTATGTTTATATTTTTCGATCCTTACCATTTGCGAAAAAATAAATATTGCTGCCTACTGGGATGCATTATTATGACATAAGCAACTTCGAAGTTCAGTGAAATAATTCTCAAACTTTTCATGTTACTATTCTTGTGTAAAGTGCTTCTGAGGCAGATTTTGCAAAGTGAATTTGATCTGTTACTCATTAATCTCCTCCAAAGCAAAAGAATATCAGCTTTTCTACTTACCCCTAACATTTTTTTTAACTATCAATTAATTTTTGGATATCTCTTTTAAGTACTTCAGCCTTTAAATTTTTATCACTTTGTTTTCCATATATATACATACTTATTTGTAATCAGTCACAAAGGTTGTTTATTTGGGAAGTAAAAGTAGAATTTCAAAATATTACGAAGGTAGTAGAAAGAATCATAGAAGCACAATATAGTTGAGCTTGGAAGAGATAATATTCTTGAATACAACATTAATCTGGTCAACCTAGAGGAGTTTGCTAAGGTCTGTGTCCTGTTCAGTTTTGAGATGGAGATTCCAGGAGCTCACTGAGAAGCCTGTTCCAGTTTTAACTGCTCTCACAAGAAGAAAACATTCTATGTTTAAAGCAAATTTTATTTTATTTCCATTTTTCCTTTTTTTTTTTTTTTTTTTGAGTTTTGGGGAAGAACCTGCAAGTGTTTTTGCTGGTGATTGTATTTTATGTAGGAAATAAATTTATTGGATGTAAATGAGAAGTATTCTGCCCTACAGAGGAGAAAAACTTCAAGGTAACTCCAAGAAACATGTTATTACTTTGAATTAAAGGCATCAAAGAATTAATCCTATTCTGTGATCTTAAGAAATGTGTAGTTTTACTTAGGTTTAGTTTATTCATCAGCACAGATACTGAGATACACAATAAGAACACAACACACACCAGCACACCTCCCCCCGATATCCTGATTTTTCTGTACATCAGACAGATCTTTCAGGTTATCCTCTATCCCTGTTAGAAATAATGTGTAGAATAAATCAAGTTTGTGTCCAGTACATATTGTATGGTTTATTTGCAGAGTTTTTGGATACCTGTCCCAGCTGTTGTGATTAAAAAATATTTGAAAATAATGATTTTTGTGCTGTTGAACACAGTTTTTTCTTTTCAGTTCTCTTCATCTTTAACATCCAGTAGGAATTATGCGTACTTGGGTAAAATCTGACCTTCTGTTAATTAATGTCTGCCCAATGGGCAGGGAAACTTAACTTCACCCTCCCCCCTGACCTCTCTTCTCCCATTCTGCCCCCAAAAAATCAACATTCCATGCTTCCTGAATCTTTTGAATTACTGTACTTGAATTTACTGAGACTTGCATTAGGAACTAAATTTATTTTATTGGCATGTTTTGCAACAGGGATTTTTGAAAAAATGTTCCTTCCAAGAGGCTGAAATTCTACGTCAGCTGTATTCTTCATCATTCCCAGACTTGTACTGCTTCAGCATTCAGTCTCTGCATTGCAAGACTGAGATGCTGGAAGCCTTTGTGATTATGCAGAGCATTAATATGCTGCAGGGTCTTATCCCACCTAAGGTATGTAGTGTGAATGTTTCTACGTATACTTAACATAATGGAGATAATTTTAAGTAATGAAGTTTTGCAGAGAGGGATTATTTGATGACTTAGAATGTCAATGGAGATGCAGGTTAGTAAGGAGTACCTTTTATTTCTTTAGAAAGTAATAGCTGGGATGTGACCTCTCTCACAGTCTCACATTTGGATTTGATGTTATGCACTGGTTTACATTAAGTACATGGAGCATGCACTGGCAGTTTTCCTTTTTTAATTTTTGGGTGATTTGTTATTGGTTGATTCTGTCTGATCATTGAAGACACCTCTAAATTTATATGTGACTGAAGACTTCTAACCTCATGTTACTAATGACTATCCAGTAGAGTTTTCAGGCTGTTGAAAATTAAAACCTAACTCAATCCTTCAGGAGCAAGGTGGGGAGCTGACACCAAAGTACTTGGAAAGGCTGTACGTCTTCTCTCTCATGTGGAGTGTAGGAGCATTGCTAGAGCTGGAGGACAGATGCAAAATGGAATACTGGCTTCGAAACCATGCAACAGTAAAGCTTGATCTTCCCTGTATCCCAGAAGGCAGTGAAGATACAATGTTTGATTATTATGTGGCATCTGATGGTTAGTAACTCAGAAGGGTAATACGGGGTACAATTTAAAAGTTGTTTTTAAACTGTGCTTTTTTTAGAGAATTAATTCAGAAGTATTTTGTGGCTTACCTTCTTTTGTGTCCCTTAGCAAGTTTTGTTTTATGGCTATACTTTACTGATGGTGCTGCGTTTAACTTTTTCCCTGTTTCCAGAGAGAAGTCAGAATGTAGATATATTGCTACAAAAGCTGCATGGACTTTGTGGTGATGAACTGTCAAGTGAACATAAACAGATAATCCTTTAAATTATTGTCATAATTTATGTAGGAAAGAGGAAGTAAGCCTTTTAGATGAAACTTGCGGGATTCTATGATTATATTGTTGTGTAAATTTTAGTCTGAAGACACAGAGAGGGACTGTGTATGTGAGACAAAAGCACAGACAGATGAATGAACTGAAAGGAAAATAAAGGAAGTGATGATGCCTAGTATTTCTAAAGCATTAACGTAGTTTCTTTCTTATTAGGTACATGGATGCACTGGAATACGCACGTTGAAGAGTATGTATATCCCAGTAGTGGTACACCAGAGTATGGCTCAATTCTTGTGCCTAATGTTGACAATGTGAGAATGGATTTCCTTATTGAAACCATAGCAAAACAGGGCAAGGTACTTTTTCTATATTTCATATTAAAGCACTGCCAACATTACACATGATAAAAGTTTTGTATTAGCAGTAAAATATTATGTAATTGAAAAGGAAGAACTTTTTTTTTTTAGATATATGGTGATGTTTTCAGAAGCTACTTTCATGCAAATATGCTTGAACTCTTGAATAGTCACTGCTTATAAACTATTTTGTCTTCCCCTCACCCCTTCATTCTGTAGTGGAAATAACTCTAATTACAGCTGAAATTAGGTCAGAAGAGAACCAATATTTTCATATACTAATGGAAGAGGAAGAACCACATAGGTTAGGAGGCTCATGTCTGACTCTGGTGATTGACCTTTGCGAGCATAGGCAATTACAAAATTTATGTAGCTGTAGACTATGAAACCCTATTCTTCACCAAAACAGTGTCACAAGCAACTGAAACTGCAGATACTGAGTCTCTAGATGATTAAACCCTTTTTCAAATAATTAACTTCTTTCCTTGTTAGTTTGATTGTGCTGCCTGACATGATCATTAACTGCAAATATTTTTAATTCGTCAGGCCTGCAAAAGTCTATGAGACATTAACTATTTTACTTCTACATGTCTCTTGTTAAGAGTTCACTTTACATAACTTTTCTAGTTTCTTTTCTGTTTAAAAGCTAAATAGGACTGTTGAACCTTTGCCAAGACACAGCTCTTGTGTTTCATCTTATTTCAATGTTGTCTTTGTCTAGGCTGTCCTACTAATTGGTGAGCAAGGAACTGCAAAGACTGTTATAATCAAAGGTTTTATGTCAAAATATAACCCTGAAAGGCACATGACTAAGAGTTTGAATTTTTCATCTGCAACGACCCCATTAATTTTTCAGGTATAGTAGTGATTAATCTTCTCATACAAGATGGTTGGATTCAGAGAATGTTCTGATAATTTGCCAGGAGGATGCTTCTGAAAGTGATTCTGAACAATAAAAAAGCACCTGTTCAAATGGTCCAAGTGTTCTAATACATGATTTAAGACTTCTGTAAAAAAATTGTTCCTTTCAACTTTTTCAGTAGCTATTGAGCTGTTCTTGGACTTTTACAATACCATGCCTATTATTTTCTTCATCATATGTTTTTGTGTCAAATATATCAGTTCTCACTAACTGCAAAGAGCTGTTAGATTTCACTGAACACCATGGGTAAAATAAGTGTTACCCACAACAATCTGTCATTAAAAGTGTGTTGCCTGCAATTTAAGTTCCAGTCATTCCAATTACTCATTAAAAAAGTAACGCATGCTGTGCAGCTGCTCTACACACAATTATGAATGCTTAAATCCTGAACTGTACTGCCTGTCCAAATTTCTACCAAGCTAATTGGAATTATTTCAAGTTTCTTTAACCTCATGACAGTATATTTGGGGAATATTTTTAATGCAGTCTGCTATGACAGGGCAAATCAATGTCTGGGCTGTAAGTGCTGTCTATAAGCTTGATGAATCACCTATCATCTGCCTGTATAGCATAGCAGAAACTACTAACATATAATATACAAACATGCAATTTTGGTCTAAATTTTCTTAGGATTTTTTTCTTCTTTTTATTGGGCTACAAACAAAAAGTAACATATTTTTATAAAATAAATGTAGATTTATTTGGTGATAAGTAAGAGTCTGATCAGGACATCTGAAATAGATGTGCAAGACTAAGTCAATTCTCTATTAACAATCTGGATCAGAACATTCTGTTACGACATGTGCTTTAAAATTACTCTAGCTTCTTAAAATCTTGGCCTAACTGATGCCAGTTGTGTAAGAAGGCAGAAGCATAGTGTAAGAATGCATATTTTTAGGTTTATACTGAAGAATAATTATGTATGGTTAAGTGAACTTTCACTTAGGATAGAGTAAATATAAACTGGACCTTAAGAAGAACAGAATAATGGAAAGATGATGAGAGAACAGTAGTGGCAAGTCTACCATTAGGCAAAATTAGCTCATCAAGTGTACTTATATATGTGAGTTTAATTATCAATGTATGCTTTTATGAAATACATTGATACCTGCTGGAAAGGTGTTTCAGAATTACGTCTTCAATTTAATCTTTATTGCTATTATCAATTTTGCTGATAAATTAATAAAATGAAAGAAAAGCTTGAAACCTGTTCAGATTTATGAAGCTGTTAGGCATGGTTGTCTACTTTAGACACCAGCCTAGTGCTGTAGAGCTTGGGATTTCAGACATTCTAGTTGAATTAGTGCAGTAACCTCCAGCAAATGCCTTGTCTAAACCACACTTTGTAAAATTCTATGTAACAGAGCCATCAATATGTTTAAGTGATTGAATCATGTATAAAATGAAGTGCTCTTTGTAACTATTCTGCTAATTGCTTTTTAACAGCGTACAATAGAAAGTTATGTGGATAAGCACATGGGCACGACTTATGGTCCACCTGCAGGCAAAAAGATGACAATCTTCATTGATGATGTGAACATGCCCATAATCAATGAATGGGGAGATCAGGTTAGTTTGTGAAAGAAGAAAAAAGAAGACAAAAGGTTTTCTTTGTTTTCATGCTACAGTGTAAAACTGTCTTTTCAGTCATTCAGAATAGGGTAAATTTGATATGTAGCACTTTAATTTTAATCAATCTTTTTAAAGAACCCATCTTCATTAATTTGTCAGGAATTAAGTGAAAATAAATATGCTAACTGCAAGAAGCAGTTTGAGTGCTCTTTAGAACGAACATGTGTGTATAATTTTAATGATGTTTTTTAACAACACTCATTTTATAATTAAAAATAAGAAATATTTGGCACACAAATTGTGATAGGAAACTGAAATTGTGGGCAATAATTAAAAGGAGAATCGTGAAACGTGAAGCCTGAGAGGTAAGAAGTGTCTTCTCTGCTTGAGACAAAATGGAAGTAATCTTTATGTTTACTGACTAAGTTGCTCTGAAATTGCTTTGGAAAATGACCTTAGAACTTCTCTAGAAGCATAGCTATAGGCTGTACTCTCTGTGGGGTTTTTTCAGCTTGTCAAACAGATATGTAGTGTATCCCTTTATGGCTAAAAAAAAAAAAAGATCTTTCATTCTTTTATATGGAAGTAATTCTATGATTTCAGCTTGAAAACCATGTTTGTGATTGTTACATAGGAAATTTAATACAAATATTTTGTATCACTTGCAACATGCAAAGATGCATTAGTTTGGGCTTGATTAGAGCAAGCTGGAAATTCTGTGTTAAAAGCGAGAAGTATTTTCAAGAGTAATGAAAATCATGCAGCATTCAAGTAAAAATAAATTATCACATGAATGACTAGTTCTAAACAAGATTAGCCCTCTACTCACACAATTTTTTTATCTATAGATTTTACCAAATGTGCTTATTCCTTGCAGTGTACTTTTATCCTGAAGCAAATAAGCAGAGGGTTAAGTGAAAAAATTGTGTTATACTCTTTGTTAGGTCTTTCAAACATACGTTTTGTATTTCTTTCAGTTGTATGTATAATATTGTCTTACATAAAACCTGGTTATTTTACAGGTCACTAATGAGATAGTTAGGCAACTGATGGAACAGAAAGGACTGTATAACCTGGAAAAGCCTGGTGAATTTACCAACATTGTGGACATTCAGTTTTTGGCTGCCATGATCCACCCTGGGGGAGGTCGCAATGATATTCCACAGAGGCTGAAGAGACAATTTTCAGTGTTCAACTGTACTCTGCCTTCTAATTCTTCCATTGACAAAATTTTTGGTAAAGGGAAACTAGCTTTGTATCCATCCCATTTTTTAAAATATTAGTTGATTTTTCCTTATCCTTCTATTTATACACATTATTGTTAAAATTAAGGCTTAATTCCCCTCTGATTTGTTTATCAGCACATTTTCCTTCAGTAATCATTCCCCACCTGCAACATCATCAGTCTGTAAGTTTTTCAGGTCCAGTTACATCTCTGAAACCTTTGGTATGCTCAGATTTAATAAGAATGACATGAAGATATTGTTTTAGTGACAATGCTGGACAGTTGCTCAGGTGCCACTGCTGCTAAGAATGAGTAACTAAAGACTAGACTTTCAGAAAGGATGGAATCATACTGATTTCAGCAGATTAGCTATTCAAGGCTAGTGGAAACTATTTTGGGAGAAAAAGAACATTAAAATTAAAAAAAACAATTAAGAGCTAAATAACCATTGAGCTGATGGCAGAATGGTGTTAATAGTGGCTGAATCAATATTTCAATGAATTGAACACTGGAAAGCCATTTCAACAAATTTGAAAAGGTTTTGGGAATTGGAAAAAAAAAGAAACAGAAACTTCAGATAATCATTGCTCTTGGTGTTGTGCTAATGTGTCTGAGTTAGCAATCTTTTTTTACACAGGTGTAATTGGAGAAGGGCACTACTGTAGTGAGCGGGGATTTTCAGATGATGTGAAGAAAACAGTAGCCAAATTGGTTCCATTGACACGCAGACTGTGGCAGATTACCAAGCTAAAAATGTTGCCCACACCAGCCAAGTTTCATTATGTCTTCAACCTTCGAGACCTCTCGAGGATTTGGCAAGGAATGCTGAACGCTACATCAGAAGTGATCAACGAACCACAGGTAAGTGCAGCACATCAGTGACCTTATAATAATTAGTGTAGGAAAGAGGATGAAGAGTCTATCTTGGCATTTGAATTTGCTTTAAAAAAATGCAACTTTAGTGGGTTTTTTTGAGGCAAAGGTGTTTTAATCCAGCTTTTATAGTACCAACTGAAATGACAACTTTGTTTCAAACGGTAACAAAACTCACCTCTTTTGTCACAACAGTTTACTTCTATCTGCTTTTCCTATTACTGAAAAATGCTAGTTTGTTTGAAAGAAGTTAGAAAATAAGTGAGAAGCAATGAACTTGCTTTAACCCAATGAAAATGCTCATAAATTGATTAAAAACTTGAATAGTTCCTCTTTTCCATTAATGTCTTGAGACTTCCAGTCACTACCTAATTTCTGTCTAACATGGTTTCTGACTTACGGTTTAAAAGGAAGAAATAGTAACAAGTATTAATAATATTTTTTTTCACAATCCATCTTTCTTCCAGTAAAACATCGTTTCTCTTCTAATTATTTTAAGGAAAAATCATTTAGAGTTTTAAGCTCTGAAACATGTAGCACTGGAAAAGCCATGTTTATGGTAAATATGGAAAATTTGTTAAATATTTGGGTTATATAATCACTTCATGTACAATGTGCATCTCTGTTTGTTGAATAAGCTCTTGAATTCTACTGCATCTAAAATTTAAACTTCAGAATGGATTTTAATTTCATCCCAAAAATATGGAGCACTTAGATAATTTTATATATATATATATATACAATTAATTTCTTTTGAAGTGTAAAAACCAATTGGTCAAAAAATATTATATAAATTTACATATTAGTTCTGAGACTTAATATGTGTCATTTGTACAAAGTGTTGTGGAACAAAATGTCTTCAAGGAGTACCTGGAATTTTTTCTACTACTGTATAATAACAGTATAGAACTAAAACTAGTGTTCCTGGTATTAACAGCCTGACAGGTTCTCTTTCTTCATCCTATGACCAAACTTAGGGACTTTAAAGGTATATTGAATCTGGAGAAGGGACAATATAAACACTTAAACCTTTTCCCTTGTTGTTATTCTGTAATTACTTTTGTAGTATTTGGCACAGTGATATCTGTGTTTGGCATGAGATTATTCATGCCATGAGGCTTATATTTTCACCCATCTTCTACTTAATGACCAGTTAGAAAAGTGTTTTATCAATATATAAACATGTTAGCTGGTATGGATACAGTTTTAAGGCTGGGGAAGATCTTATAAAATCTTATGAAATGTTATTTATTTATTCTCTTATGCTTTGGAATGCTAGATTAAGGCTTCTTCCATAGCTAACTGAATATAATCTTACTATTGGGCAGAATAAGAAGATCAAGGTATCTCTTCTGAAGAACCCCCTAAATACTATTTCTTTTCTAATGTTAATCTTATTTTTAAATAAAGAAATGAAGGCAAAGCTTTAAAGTTGGTATAGTTTCTTCACAGGCCAAATGAGTTTCTCAGTACAAGAGAGACATAGAGCTCCTAGAGCATGTCTGGCAGAGAGCTACAAAGACAGTTAAGGGACAGGAGTACCTCTTTTAAGAGGAGATGCTGAGGGAGTAGGGCCTATTCAGCCTCAAAATGAGAAGGTTGAGGGGAGACCTCATCAGTGTCTGCCAGTATCTGAAGGGAGAGCATCAGGAGGACAGAGCTATATTCTTCTCGGTTGTGCCCAGCAATGGGACAAGAGGCAGGAACTGATTCACAGGAAGTTCCACCTGAACATGAGGAAGAATTTCTTTACTGAGAAGGAGATGGAGCCCTGGAACAGATTGCCCAGAGAGGTTGTGGAGTCTCCCTCACTGGAGATATTCAAGAACTGTCTGTAGTAATTCTATGCCACGTGCTCTAGGATGACCCTACTCAAGCAGGGAGGCTGGACCAAATGACCCACTGTGGTCCCTTCCAACCTGACCCATTCTCCTTCTGTGATTTTGTGAAATGCCTTTTTCTTTTTTCTTTTTTGTATGTAGGTGCTGATAAAACTGTGGAAGCATGAATGTAAGTGTGTTATTGCTGATCGTTTCACAACCTCAGAGGATGTTAATTGGTTTCACACAGCCCTGGCAAAACTCATTGAGGAGGAATTTGAAGATCCAAAAGCTTTGCTGAGTCATGAAACACTCTTTGTTGACTTCTTAAGGGATGCACCTGCAAGAATTGGTAAAGATTCACTCTAATAATCATGGAAATGAAAAGAATAGACAAAGGGATATGAAAATCATAGATACTTAGAAACATACATAGTAAAAATTAATACTAAGTTTGTGCACCAAAAGTGTCTGTTTTGTCCAGTGGCTTTGAAGATAGTCTGTGTCACCAGCTGTGCCATATTTTTATCGTATTGGGAATTCTAAGTCTGTATTGATATCCAGGTTGTCTGTATAGGAGAGCCTTGCTTTCATTTAAATTGGTGTGGCAGAAAGACAGAACTGCCAAATACTGAGCATGAGTCTTTATTATTCCAAAATAATGAAGGAAATGTGTTATGAATGACTTGAAATGGTGGGGTTGCAATACTAGATAAAGGATAGCAACGTAGGTAACATGCCCTAGAAATCTGATTAAAAAATACTGTCTCTGGGCTAATCCAAAACGCTCTAAGAAATAACTGTTACATGATTTTTTAACAAATTACTATTAATTCAAAATTTCCTGAATGTTAGTTAAACCTCTTTAAAAACCAATATGACTTATAGCAATATCTTTATGTCTTTCAAACAAAACCATGGTGTCACTGACCTCTCAAAATGAACTGTGGATATTTGTCAATTGTGGCAAAAGAACAGAAAACATTTTTTTTGTGTGTTTAGGGAAAGGTCATTTCATGATTCAGTTATCTGTGTTGATATCACTGCACTGATGGAGTGCAATAAGAGACTGGAGGCAATAAGAGACTGACATGAATGGCCAATGCTATTTGAACCTTTCCTTAAACAGTTGAAGTAGACAGAAGGCTGTGTAAACAGGAGATAAAGGATAGGACGTATTTCATTGGAAAGAATCAAATAGAAGTAAAAGTAAGCTGGTGTAAGAAAGTGTCTTGGTTTGAAAAGACAGGTGTCTACTAAGGTAGGCAGGAGCCTCCCTTGAAATGGAAAATGTAAACCTCCTCCCTCCAAATTATTATAATTTTGAAATTAAGGGGCTCTCAGGCAAAGATATGGGAGTAGGAATAACAGTTCTTCACTAGTATGTATAAATACATTAAAAATATCCATACAACTTAATAGGAAAATTAAAATGCAGTAGTACAAAAAATACAGATAGTCAGAATACAACCTGACAGCCTGTTGGTCAGGGTGTTGGTAGCAGTCTGATTAAATGGTGGCTGCAGTCCTCCTGGAGTGACAGATGTTGTTCTGTTGAAGCAATGATCCTGCAGAAGGGTGTAGTTTTCCTCTGAAGGTCCAGTGGTGATGTAGAATAGTCTGCAAATCTTCTTCTGGGAATCCAGTGGAAAAAGGCTGACTGTGGTGTTCCAAGTTTCATATTCAGGTAGGAATGCTTGGCTCCTCCCCCTGGGTGGAGCATCTCACAATGGGATGATGTAATTTTATCAGTCATGCAGTGAGACTCAATGGCCCATTAACAGAAAATGTCCCCCTGAAGGGAGGATGGGTCATGGTTTTAACAGCTGGCCCATTAGCAGAAGATATCATCCTGGAGCTATGAGGATGGGTCATGGAAGAGATAAAGATCACTTAGGCATTTACTGCTTCCCATTATGATGGAAGTTTAAGAGCAGGACTTTGGTTTTTGAGCTCTTAAATATATAAAACATGATGTCAGACACTTACTTCAAGGATCCCTATGCTCAGATTAGTAATAGGTTTACTAGTACTGCATAATCTTTTTGTCTCTGGATTCTAAAAGCACAATATGTTTGACCCTGAGAGAAATACCTGATGACTTGGATCTTAGTCAATTTTTAGATCTTAGCTTCAAAGGAATTGTTAGTGGTGCTATTGATCTCAAGACCCTCCACCTATTCAAAGGTGGCTTTATCAGTTAGTTTTGACATTGTTATTTAGTACTTGTAATACAAATCTTGAGACTGAAAAGACTTTAAAATTATACATTTTGCTAGTTTCCTCTCTAAATAATGGAAAAGTCTGCCCTTTCTTAGGTTTTGTACTTGATTATACTGTCCATGGACATTAATATTTAAACTGTAGGAAAAGAATTAAGATTATATTATTCTTTTAAATGTTTCAAAACTGTAGAAGTGTCACTCCAATTTAACTTCTTGATGTATTTCTTACTAGTTTCTTATCAGCTGCTAATTTGTTTAAATGTCTTATTCAACTTGTAAGAAATTTATTTCCACCTGGAATACTCATTTTGTTTAACCAGTGCTTTTACAAGTTAAAATAAGAAGTCAGTTGATATAATTATGTTTTAATCTAGAGGAGCGTTGGTATGCAGAAGCAATACAGAGCTAAAAATTCTGAAATTCAGGTGACTTCAAGCAAATAAAAACCACAATATAAAGGACATCTGAAAGAGAATTAATAATCTCTTAATAATAATAAAATGTATTTTGAGAGAGTAGGTTCTATGGTAAAATGTCATTTTCTGAAACTATGTTTTTATATATGTATTTTTGGTTTATTTTTTGTTATTGTTTTTCTGTTGTTGGTTTTTCCCTTGAAACTGTATGAGCATTAGAATGGTGCAATGGAAAGGAAATGAAGAAAAAAATTGAAACAAGAAAAAAGTTACAAACACTATTGTAAATACACTAGAGTTTGATTAGGGGTTGCAGTTTTTCCCCCCACCTTTCTGTTCCTTACCTTCACACTCGCTTTTAGTGCTTTACTAAGCCTTAGGGAAATACTTATTTTACTGGAATAACTTACTTCATTGATTTTAATTTTACCAATTAGAGAAAATGTTCTGAATTATGTATTTCTTCATCAAATTAGAACATGCTTAGCAAAACTGATTGATCTAGGATAACTGGAAAAATACTTCCTGTAACATATATAGGTCATGAAATCCTGAAACTAATTGAGTTAAATGTATGTAAATAAGAGCAAAATTCTACTAGTATTGTACTAGTATTATTTTTTAGGAAATCCAAACCACCAACCAAAAGCCCCCTGTCTGCCTGCTGGCACCATTCCACTGAGATTTGTCTGTTATTTATTAATGAAATATGGTCTGGATGAGAAGTGAGATGGATTGAAAATAGGCTGAATGGTCAAGCCCAGACAGTGGTGATCAGTGGCTCAAAGTCTAATTGGAGACCAGTAACTAAGGGTGTATCCCAGGGGCCGACACAGGATTCAGTCATCCTCAACATTGTCATTAGTGGTCTGGGTGATGGGGCACAGCGCACCCTCAAGCCAGTTCCCAGGTGACACAAAACTAGGAGGAGTAGTTGATATGTCAGAGAGTGTGCTGCCTCCCAGGTGGGCCTTAACAAGAACTCCACAAGGTTCAGCAAAGGGAAATGAAAAGTCCTGGACCTAGGGAGGAAAGGCCCCACGCACCTGTGTGTACTGGTGGTCACACATCTGCAAGTCAGCTTTGCAGAAATGGACCTGGAGGTGCTGGTTGATACCAACCTGAACATGAACCAACAGTGTACCCTTCCTTAAAGGAAGAAAAAACTAGTGACATCCTGAGCTGCATTAGAAGAAACGTAGCCAGCAAGCCAAGGGAAGTGGTCCTTTCCCTTTTCTTACCACTAATAAGGCCATACCTGGAGTGCTGTGTCCGGGTCCGGGCTCCCCAATACAAGAAAGACGTAGATATACTGGAAAAAAATCTATTTATCTATTTCAAACTTGAACATCAGTAATCACTATTTTTTTTTTTTTCCTTCACTGTGGCAGTCTAGTTCAGGTTATCCAGAGATGTTGTGGAGTTTGTGTCTTGGGAGGTATTCAAAAGGCACCGAGCATGGTCTTGGGGAACCAGCTGTAGGTGGCCCATCTTGAGCAAGGGATTGGACCGGATGACTTTCAGAGGTCTCTGCTGATCTCAACTTTTCTGTAATTTTATTTGCTGTAACAATTCTTATGGAAGAAGGCATGTCACCTTTCAGCATGATTAAGGTTATGAATGGAGAGATGAGGCAGCAGCACTGTTCCTTTCTTTGAGAGCTGACTTATGCCTTTCATATCACCTAAGGAAATGAATGTATGCTAATTCACAATGAATATACTTTTTTGTTGTGGCAGTTACTAATTTCAAGAGTATTTTTTTTTCTAATGCAATTATTTAATCAATTTAGACTGTATTTCTTTTACAGAAAAGATTATTTGCAATTTTTAACTGCAGTATTTATTTACTTTTATTTTCTGGTATTACTTTTTTTTCCTAGCACCTAAACAAGTATCATTTTTCTTCATTCAAGTTTCAGATACAGAGAAAGAAGGCTATTCAGGTTTTTTTTCACATTTTGTCTTTAAAAATTATGTAGCTGAAATCACCATTTCTTGCAGGCAGGGTGTACTCTCACATGTACATCTAATATATAATATGTATAATATATCTGTTTATGGGTGGTGAAACTTCTAGTTATCTTTACTTACTTATCCCCTCATTGAACCTTTGTCAATTATTTAAGTTGCTAAGATTTTATTACTTGCCTTTTGTTCTAGATGAAAAACCAGAGGAAGTTAATTTAGATATTCCCAAAATCTATGAACCAATCTCCTCATTTCATCAGCTACGGAATCGTTTAAATAAGTTTTTACAAACATACAATGAGAATGTTCGTGGTACAGGAATGGACATGGTTTTCTTTGAGGATGCTATGGTTCATTTAGTCAAGGTACAGTCTTGCTGGATTGTCATTTGTTGTTGTTCACTTTCCCCCATCTCCTTTGAGTAGAGGTGTGCATGAATCAAGGTAAATTACTTCTGAAACTAAAGCAAATAATTTATTGCTAGCAAATATTTGATCTGTCACTCTGTGACTAGGTATTAGAACCTATTAAAAACTTTTCAGAAAATGCAGCAGATGAAACTATTCTTTTATACCTAACTTTTATGTTTGGTGGGACCATGGTGCTAGCTATTCTAATTCTATTTCAACTTTCCTTCTTAATTCTTCTGGGAGCCCTTCCTGTCTTTGGAATGAATCAAATGAAATTCGGGTTAAGATGGTAATTGGTTGCTTCTGAAGGAGTATGCACATCAGAGTAGGAATTAACATAGTCCAAAATTCTTTTGTTGATCCACAGTATGCTCAGTAGTTTTAAAGTTCTTTTGAATATGGATTGGAACTGACCATAACTTTTAGCGCAGCACAGCTTGATATGATTGTTCACATAGAAAAGGCCTCATACAAAGTAGAACCTTTTTTCATGACACTAGAACCTCTATTGTCCCAGTTGAATACTGAGGTTTTCAGTATTGCTTTCAATAAATGATTAAGAACTGAATATTTAATTGCATCATCCCCCTAAATACAATTTTAAATATCTAAACAATTTAAATTTAATTATAGTTGACAAACATATTGCATCTGCAATTTTCATAATTTTGGGGTGAATTCTTATTATTTTGCAAAATTAGTCCCTTTCTTTCTAAGGTTCACTGCAGAATCAATGATGTTGTGCTATGCATTTCTTTAGGACAATTGTAATTAATCATCACACTTACCAATAAGTTTCTCATTTATTCCTAGGAAAAAAATCTATATAAGTTTAGGATGTAGCAGTTTTTTGTTTTTTTTTCACTGAACAGCCACCTTTATCAGGAAAATCTTCTTTTGGTAGCTAGATGGTAAATACTTGAAATATTTTATTTGTCTTTGCTTAGATGAAATAAATAGATAGTGTTTCTGTGATTCTAAATTCTTGAAAACAGGAACAAGTGTGTAGACCTGAGACAGCTTCTAAGAGAAAGTGAGATAGGCACAGTTGAGGTAATGCCTAATCTGAGCTCACATAATATGACTTGAATGAGTTAAAGCTGAGTGTCGCTCTATTAGGAATGGTGAGAAGAACGACAGACTCTCTAGGAGTCGATCAGGAGAATTTCTCCCCGGTTTATTACCTCAGGTCTTTTTTATAGACCGATACGTGAAAAGTACAGAAAATAAACTCTTATTGGTTAGTAAACTAACACATCACCATCATTGGTCAGTGGGGTTCACCACCCCTCGACTTTCTCTTGCAAGAAAACAAGGAACAGATAAACAGCACCTGCAAGGCTGTTTTCTGTCTCTGAGGATTGTTTTAATTCCTCCTTAAGATTTCCCAGGCCACTTTCTCAGGCAAGACTGAGAAAGCTATGTGGCCTGCAATTTCTACAGGCACCTTGCTCCCTGTTTCACAGTTAGCATCCATAGCTGAGGGATATCTTAAATAGAGAACAAAATTTCCAATTAACAGCTTATGTGCCTCTGCCTGGAAAAGATCTAATAGCCATTATTGAAATGATCTGTGATACTGCAAGGATGTTGTGCAAATTAAATTTTCTTTTTCTGGGTAAATAATAAAGAAGCTTAGAGTAAGACTTCATACTTGATTTTATCTTTCTTTTGAAACATTAACCTATGGAAAATAATAAATACATTACACTCAGTATGTAAAATAAATAGGCTTTAAATTAGAGGAAATTGGCATGACTATTTTTAATGGCTTGGAAAGAAGTAACTCAGACAAAAGGCAAGTAAATAAGTATCCAAGGTGGTTTATTGGCACAATGGAATTCTGGAGTCATCAAAGAACCATTCAAGATAATAAAGAGAACAGAAGCCAATCCAGTGCATCATTGCTTGTATGGAGGAGACCAGCTGCTAACCAGCTGGCTGGTATTATTGTGTCTTTGAGAGGGAACTGGCTCTGTGCTGCTCTGGATATTAATGTAGGCTCTTCTGGGTACAGTGAGGGTCTGTCCACTTGCAACTGGTGGGCTGTGGAGAAAGTTTGTCTCCTGTACTTAGACATGCTTTCTCAGCATCATGTTTCATGGCATTGTTTTTTGGACAGCAAGACAAGTGTATGCAGTTCACAGTTACTGCTGAATTTTTTTTTGCTCTGAATTCTGAAGGGTCTGTTTGTTTACATTGCATAGTCCTGAATTGAAGGGAAATGTGGAGCAGTAGGAAGCTACTGCCTTTTTATTTAAAAGATAACTAATGAAGTGGGAAAGAAATGTAGATCTAACTGGGGGATGTTTCACTGTGATCAAATATTCATACTTCATACTGTGCATTTTTGCAGTCAAGTAAATGAGAAGCGTAACAAGTTTCATTATAAAGGCTGTATTATTACCTGTTGCAGAGAATACTGAAAACTCTTTGTCCCAAATTTAACATGCTTGGGACATCCTGTCTTTTGGTTCACAATGAAAAGACCTGGTGAGATGAGTCTTACTGAAGTTATCCAGAGGTCATGGCATTGGGGAAATTATTTCTTTCCCAGTTTCATAATTCCTCATGCTGTGATAGCACATCACTAAGAAACCACAGCTGAGATTTACTTGTACTTGGTGGGAGATGTAATTCTACTGATAACTGAACATACACAGTGATGGAATCAAATGGTTGCTATACTATTTGACAGGTCAACAGTAAATGTTACAGAGTACAAATGCCCACAGAATATATTAATAGTAATATAGAATCCCTTAATTAAACCTTAAAATTTTAATTTGTTCTTCATTTCTAATATAACTTATTAATGTGGTAGCATAGAATTTTTGGATGTGTGACTTTTATACTTTGTAGCAATAAATGAATGGTATATTACACAGATTTCTCGTGTGATTTGCACTCCTCGTGGAAATGCTCTTTTAGTTGGAGTTGGTGGCTCAGGAAAACAAAGCTTGACAAGATTGGCATCCTTCATAGCGGGCTATGAAACATTCCAGATAATGTTGACTAGGTGAGCATTACCTGAAATTTAACTAATTAAGTACTTTGTGTTTTAACTCTTCCTATAAATAAAACAGGCTCATATTCTCTGCTCAGCGTAGTCTGATCACCATCACATGGAGTGGGAGGACATGAAAATCCTATGAAACTTATTAGATTTGCTTGATTTACTACAATAATTGTGGATTTTTACTGTCTTTGGAGTAGGAAATTTTTTTTGTTTCATTCACAGAATGAGAAAGAATATTGGCAGTGTCAAGTTATATTTGAGTCTTTAAGCAGTACATTAAAGGCTACTGAAAATATTTTTAGGTGGTTATCTATCCAAAAGGCCGTTATGAATTCATCTGGTAATATTTGAAATGCCGTCATCTGAGAAGGTTGAATCTTTATCCCTGCCCTCTAATCTCATTGATCTTATATAGATATCAGTATTTTGACAGCCTTTTCCAAGTACATTTTGGCCTTATTTCATGTTGTTCAACCCAGTGTGGTTTCTTTTGAAATAACTCATAAAGGATAAAAAATAAATCATAAATCCTTCTCTGAATGCCTCAGAATGACTATCTCCCCAGCTGTTTGTAGCACAGGTCAATTTTGGCACTCAAATAAGATGTAATTTTAGGGAAGTGAAATTATTTTAGGTCTTTTGCAGGTGTGTTGGCTGCAGAAGAAAGTGTATATTCACATGTGCAAATGTCCCTTGGTGTAGGTCTCATCAGAGGATCTATCTGAAATATGCACCTTTTTGCCTTAAGTTCCAAGATACTGTTTTTAACTTAAATTTGCTTGTTGGTTTTTCTTTTTTTTTTTTTCCCTTTTGGTCAGATGAATTTTTTTAAAAATAGATGAGTATTTGTTAAACTAATTTTTTTTTTTTTTTTTTTTGTAGATCATACAACACTTTAGACCTGATGGAAGATCTGAAACTCTTATACAGAACAGCAGGACTGCAAGGCAAAGGCACCTGTTTTCTTTTTACAGACAATGAGATCAAAGATGAGTCTTTCTTGGAATACTTGAACAATGTTTTGTCATCAGGAGAGGTAAAGTGCCTCCTCATGATCAATTTTCTGCTTTTTAAAATTTATAATTCTGAAGCAAAATAACAATTTATTTGAATATTTTACTGTAAGTCAAGGGATACACTTTCAAAAACTAGAATTTAAGTGCTTTTTGTCATTAGAATATTACTAAAAATGAGTGTGGTCTATAAAATCTACAAAATCCTAGGTTAGAGTGAGAGAAGCCATCTCAAGGGACATGAGCGCAGCTTTAAAAAAATAAAATTGAGACTGGGGAAATATTACTGATGTTTTAAAAAGTTGTTTGTGAAATTAACTATTAGTGTACAGATAGTTTTTATATGGTAAATTTATGTCCAGAGTGGATGGGATAGATTTAATTGATTTTATTTACTTATTTATTATTTCAGGATTATGTTTCAGAGTAATTGCTACTAGTTATTGCAATATAAAGAGAAGGAATCAAAGCCATTGGAGGGTGGGGTTTAAAGTTTTACAGTAAGTTAGATTTCAGTCTGTTTAATGGAATCACTTCATTAAAACTTCTTGTTTAAAGGAGTTGGTAGGTACTAATAACTTCAGTGTCCGAGATGTATGCCCCTTCCTACAATGCTGTGTATTAAAAGAACCTTGTGCTCTATTGACTCTATTTTGGATCATCTCAAAAAGCATGAAAATATCTTCCTTCTTCCCAAAGGTGTCAAACTTATTTGCACGTGATGAAGTAGATGAGATCATTAGTGATCTCATTCCGTCCTTCAAAAAGGAACATCCACGAAGACCTCCAACCAGTGAAGCTCTGTATGATTATTTCATGAACAGAGTCCGTCAGAACCTTCACGTAGTTCTTTGCTTTTCACCAGTAGGTGAAAAATTCAGAAATAGGGCCCTGAAGTTCCCTGCTCTCATTTCTGGATGCACTATAGATTGGTTCAGCCAATGGCCTAAGGATGCTCTGGTGGCAGGTATGTGTAGGTTTTATCTTTGGAGACACATAATTTTCCGATCAGTGGTCAAGTAGCTGTTTTAATTGTGTTGAATTTTGCCAGAAGAAACTTACCTGATTCCAAAATTTTCTTCTTTAAAGCCTGTTGTATTAAGCTGTTGAAATATTTCCAACACAGGAATGGTTTTGAACACAGTTTGAAGAAAAATTCCCTGTGAAGATGTCTTAAAAGCATTTGTAAAGAAGGCAAAGATGCTACTAAAGAAAGAGTGTATTTGTGAATGTGTCTGTGATAGGGTATACAGAGGAAGGCTGTGCTTACCTAGTCCCTGGTAGGTAGCAGCTAGGTTCACAGTAAAAATGCACTTGTGCACTTTGGAGATGAAAGAATGCCAGATCCTTGGCTATACTTTTTACTGACAAGTGTGGAATAATTTTCAGATTCTGATAGGGAAGAGTAAAGAAGACTGGGTTTTCAGAAGCTGGGTGAAAGCCAAGATAATACATGCTGACTTGTTTTATAGTGAGTTGTTTATAAGCTAATATGTTTTTGTAAATATTTACTTACATTTAAGCTTTCTTCCTTTCTTTCCTAAGTATCTGAACACTTTCTGTCCTCATTTGATATGGACTGCACTGCTGATATCAAGAGGGAAATTGTGCAGTGTATGGGCTCATTCCAGGATGGAGTGGCAGAAAAGTGTTCTGATTACTTTCAAAGATACAGACGTTCTACACATGTGACTCCCAAATCCTACCTGACCTTTATTCAGGGATATAAAACCACATACAAAGAAAAGCATGCTGAAGTGCAAACATTATCAAACAGGTAAACTACTCAGGTTACTTCTGCTTTTCTGTAATTTTCTTTCCCAGGTAGGTATATTCTGATATGCTTAGTTTCAATGCATGGCTTGTCTCCTTGCACAGTAAAAAAAAGGTATTTTTAATTCCTAGAAATATGTGAAGGTGTAATTTATTCAAATATTGTAGTTTCTCTTGTCATATAAGCTAAATATTATATATATTTGGAGGTGATGGGGGAAAGGAGTAGTGGTGCATGAAAACAGAGGTAGAGAGAAAATGACGTGAACATAAATTGGTGAACATAAATTGTACCTGCGTGTTTTTAAAGAGTCAAAGAAGTTATCTACATGTAATTTCATAATATATTGAAAATAGCATTTAATTTGCCAGGCAGCAACTTTTGTTTTCTTGCTGAACACCTGTAACCTCCTGTTATGAAGACAGAAGGAGTATCCTTAGTCATTTTATGAACACAGAGCCTCACTTAGACTCCTGAGCTTTTTACCTGTAGATTATTAAAGTGGTTTTGATATACTTATTCCTATTTTCAGATGCTTTATTAAACTAATAATATCTATTTGCAGATATATCTTCATGTCAGGAAAACCCAACTATAATATAAAATTAGCAATTAATGTATGAGTTGGTGTCACCCTAAAGAAAAACTGGCTTCTCAGTTTTGAGGGATTGTCAAAAAGAGTTGGAAGCCTTAAAGAAAGGCTTGAACTAATTTATGTCACTTTGAAACATTCTTTGTCTTCAACATCAAATTGAGTTTGAAACCTGTAGTTACGTTAGGGGTGAAGGCTTGTAAAAGACAAGGGTGTTGCCATGTTTTCTACCTTCAGATTTACCAGATTAGTTCTTGAAGTCAAATTTCTTCCACGTAAATTTAGTTGCAATGTCTGAATTGCTTTGTCAGGGGTTACACTTTGTCTGTTCTCCTATATTTGTTCAGCTGTCTGAGTACTGCATAGCCTTTGCAATAGAAGCCTCTGTAGAGGTCCTTAAAACTTGTCTGAAAAGTCCCAAGTGAAGAATTTTTGTTAGAAAAAAATCACTGTTGAAGGGGAATTTTAATGCTGAATCGGATTGGTCTTACCTCAATGTTATTTTTCTTTTACTCTCTTTTGTTTGGTCTTGGATTATTTTCAGTGCCCACTTAAAATAAGAAATATTGATTTGTTATAATTTTCAAAATTTTGGTAATCAGAAAAAGCTTTCTGCTGTACAGGACTCTGTTCTTTGAGCATTGGCTCAAGAGGGACAGTGATATTTATAGAAACGAAGTGTAGGATTTTTATGCAAAGATAAAGACATAGTTGTTGATTAGAAGTGGGTAAAATTTCAAGCCACAAAATTTATTAATGTACTTTATTGTCTACTTTATTGATTCTGAAGATATGAGAAAGGTGAAAGTTCTTGTCCAAGTTTCATTTTTGGCATAAAACATCTTTTGCAAGCTTTCATTCTGGTTGATGTGATTCATTCTATAGATGGAAAGTATAGTGTAAATTGTGCACCATAGCGAATGAGATGCTTTTGATTTTGTTTTTTAACTTCAGAATAAATACTGGTCTGGAAAAATTGAAAGAGGCCTCTGAGTCAGTGGCTGCTCTAAGCAGAGAACTGGAGGTAAAAGAAAAGGAACTTCAAATTGCCAATGAAAGAGCTGACATGGTATGTACAGCCTTCAAAGTGTGTTGCTGTTGGATTTTTTTTTCTCCTTTTATTCCTTCTATTTTGAAGAGATGAATCAATTTAAATGAAGTTAAGTGTTGGAAAGAAAGGATCTTGGAGAGAATGATCTTATTTGACTTTTCTGGAATTAGGCAGATATGATTGTGTAACAAAAACTCTTTATGGCATGTGGGTTTTCTCACATTCTAGGTATTGAAAGAAGTTACTGTAAAAGCACAAGCTGCTGAGAATGTGAAGGGTGATGTTCAGAAAGTGAAAGACAAAGCGCAAGCAATCGTAGACAGTATCACAGTTGACAAAGCCATTGCTGAAGAGAAGTTGGAAGCTGCCAAGCCTGCTTTGGAAGAGGCAGAAGCAGCCTTACAGGTTAGTACTTGGACCATGTATAACATTACCACTAAGAAGGTGGATGTCTTTGAAATACAAAATTGCAGGCATATTGCATAACTCTTGACAAAAAATAAATATATGTATTTTGAGACTTTTTGGATTCAGTTTTATTTTTCTTTTTTCATGTGAGTACCAACATCCAAATAGTCAGTTTTCAGAAAAGAGAAACTTTTAGCTTTCTTTGAAACTGTAATTAACATAACATGTACTACAGGTTGATGTTAGACTAGTAACTGAATATTGATGTGATATTAAACAGCTTGTGTACACTGAGTGAAGTGCTATCCACATAAAATCAGTTGTAATATCATCCAAATCCAAACCTTCTATTTTAAGTTTTCACAAAGAAATTGCATTTTCAATAAGTTTTCTGGTCCATTATTTAATATTTTTTAAAAAATATTTTCTTAGGACTTGTGGCATTACCAAGACTTCATTTCCTTCACCATACTTTTCTTGTAAAGCTTTTTTAATAGAATGCCCATATTTTTAAGATTTAAAAAGATTAATATTAATTGGTCTTGCATACTATTTATCTTTATGTCTGCTCAGCTGTCTTTATAGGAGGATGTGCCTCAAGACATTTTGCTTCAAGCAGTAGTAGTGGAATCTAAAATATACCTGTTAGATGCATGCAGGGAGCTCACATCTCAAGAAACAGAAAAGTATGAAGAAAAAACCTGAAGGATAGACAAACCTCAAAGGGTTTTATGTGGATTTACTGGAAATTATACCTTTCCATTTGAGAGGCTGCCAGTAGTTGTAATGGTTAAAGACTGATTTGAAAGAATGGCATTTTAACTTTGAAATCTAGGGTAGAAAAATTTTATGGGTCTTCTGAATGTAAGACTTCACCTTTAGTGAGAGATGTTTAAGAGTTTCTGACTGCCATGATGCTTAAAGGACAGAGTGCAAAAGTCTAAATAAAGGTTGATGACCTGACAGCTGGGAAGAGTGAAATAAAGGAGAAGGTTTGTATAATAAGACCCTGATATATAGCCACAGGGAAAAGGTTAAAGAACCAGCCACAACAAAACAACAAACCCAGTAGCGGGCAAGCATTCTGACAAGTGGAAAAATAAGCAATGTTAATTAGTCAGCATCTGCAGTATAAAGAGGGCACCACCATCCTGTGTCTAGACATCTATCTTATTAAAGCTTACTTTCTATTTTTGACTGAAATGGCTGAACTAAAACAATACTGCTCTGGAAATGTAGGGTGCTAATAAATGAAAACATGATTTCAAGAAAAAACAACACTGGCATTATGGGAAAACTTCTCAAAGGGAAAAAATATTTGGGCTTAATCTTGAAATTCTTGAATTTTCTGTAATAAATTGCTTTTCCTGTGTCTAAAGGGGAAAGGCAAACAATCACAAAGAGACCTAGGAGAACATGTGTACGTATTCTAAGCCTTCCTTCCTTCCTTCCGCCACTTCCTTC